TTTTTTCTTCTTTATTTTCTTGAAATAAAAGTTGTTTATGTGTCATACGTGCAAGCTGCATCTGTGTGAAAAGGTTAAGGTGCATGTCGGGGCGGTATTCCAGGCTAACTGTATTGCTCTTGCTTTATTTCGTTAATCTTTTTCATTATTAAGAAAATCTTTTTGAGGAGGCAAGCTAAGGTGTATCTATACTCGCCACTGTTTTAACCTCGCATCGCCCTTATTACTTACTTATCCGTTTCTTAAAATATAAATACCATTAAAAACATATGAAGAAACACTACTAATATGCGCGATGGTTTTTAAAAGGCCCATATTGAAAATAAAATTTCTCCGCCTGTGCAAAGAAACCAGAGTCGAATCTGATGTAGGCTAAGAACGAGCCATCGTATGCCCCTCCCAAATTTCTGGATACACCATTTATATGCGATGAATATGATTGTGTCTGATCTGGTGCTTACCATAGAGACAAAGAGAGAGAGAGAGAGAGGGGGAGAGAGAGAGAGAAAGAGGGGATAGAGAGAGAGAGAGAGAGAGAGAGAGAGAGAGAGAGAGAGAATGGAAGGGGAAGGGGACGATTTTGACAGGTCGAAGGCACAAACCAGATACCAGACATCCTCCCCCCCCCCACACACACACACACCTCCTGGACTTCCCCCAACGAAAATTTACACTCTGCATTGATTTTTTTTGGGTCTTAAATGCCTTGTTAACATGATAAATGGAACATAAGAAAGTGTGGAAGGGCCTATCACTTTGGATAAGAATATTTTCGCTCACAAATCGCGTTTCTGACGGCCGGAAGATGAAGTTCGAACTTGTGCTGACGAATTAGCGCTTTCGGCATGAGGTAGGTTCGTGTGTAGCCTCCATTAGAGGAAGAAACTGCATGAAATACTTAGAAATAATGAATAAAGACGAAGATATATTGAGGAGGGAGAGAGGGGCTAAGAGGAAGAAAAACGGGGAAGAAAGATGGAGATCAGAGAGGATGTGAGACAAATTGATTGAGTGAGAGCATGGAAGAAAGAGAAAGATTAAATAAGAGAGAGAGAGAGAGGGAGAGACGGACAGAGACACAGAGACACGGAGAGAGAGAGAGAGAGAGAGAGATAGAGAGAGATAGAGAAAGAGATGAGAGAGAGGGCGGGAGGGAGAGAAAGAGAAAAAAAGAGAGACAGAGACAGACAGACAGGCATACAGTCGGGGAGACAGAAAGTCGATGGATTAACCTCAGAAAAGCTTAGATTACAGAAGATAGATAATACACTTTTCTCAAAACAGGTAGTTAAATGAGAAAAATGAAGGTGACAACAAGCAGGATATTCCAAGAAACAAGGAGGAAATGAAGTTAAGATTGAAGAGGATGGATATGAAATTCTCAAAATACAGGTAGTGAAATAAAAGAAACTAAGGTGACAACCAATCCAATTTGATTCCAAAAAACAAGAGGGATACGAAGGTTGACAATTTATTGAAAAATACAAACCGACACCGACCATCTATTATAGGTCTTTAGGGTAAGTCCTCCTTTTGATGTATTGTGTTCTGAACATTATGAGTTGTCGATTTCCTTTCTTTCCTTTATTTAAGGGAATTAACTAATCTCTTTAAATGTGTACTTTATACTGTTTTTACAATATTTTTTCATTCAATTTTTGTAATTGAAAAACACAATTTTTTTTATATCAAATTGAGATTTTTTAAAATACTTACATGCATATAAAAACTAATCTGTAATGGCTAATGTTCCTTCATCAAATAAATAACTATATCCACGCGGTCACAATGACCATTGCATCGCACTAATCAACAATTATTTTTGTTTTTGTTTGGGGGGGGGGGGGCTTATATTTGTCATCCCTTTTCTTTCTTCTTCACTGTGATGCAAGCATAATATGTCATTTCTATTACATAACAATATACACTGACTCTTTACCCTATTACTACTCTCAATGCCTTTTCTTTCATCTAATTATCGGTTGCTTTGAAAGTGGCTGCCATTGCCAAGCATTATGATTAAAAGCGTGCTTTAACCTTGTCTCTAATTCACTTCTTAATCATTCAGATTAATAAGTTTAGCCTCTCTGTTATATTGTCCCTGGGCCACTCATTAAGCAATGATCCAATGTAGTGGAACAACGCCGGGTCTAGCTATAAGGGGGGGGGGGGGAGACTGGTATTGGAAATTGGTGGGAGAGGGCCGTATTTACTAGAAAGATAAATCGCAAGCTAACGAGCCATCTTTAGGGTAGGGAGGTGATGTTGTGGTTGTTCTTCTTCTTCCTTTTTCTTCTTCCTTTTTTCTTTTCCTTCTCTCTGTCTCTCTATCTTTCTATCTCCCTTTCTCTCGCATTCTTTTTTTTGATTGGGGGGGGGGGGGGCCCGTGCTTCTCGCACCCTGTATCTACGCTAATAATTGAATGAGATACCGATATAATCGATATAATCGATATAATCATAGTATTATTATGATAATTAATGCCCCTGTGCTCAGTTGACTGCGCAGAAGAAATTGCCAATTAATTTGTTGTTATAGCTCAGTGAATGTTTTTATCTCTATAATTATATGCCTACTACATTGTACTACAAACCATGGTTATTTATACATTATGTTTAATAATAACAATATTAAAACGTTTTTGTATAGCTCATAATAGCCTCACATACATATCCCAATCAGACACTAAAGTCTGTTGGCAAGATGTTAATCTACATTTGCCACTCTCCACCCAGGTGCTAAATGGGTACCAGTAGGATGCGAACGTTAGTATGCTCAGCAATGTGAGCGTCTGTTAAAATAGCGCCCGGCTGGGATACTCCCCAGGGAGTGGAGAATGTACACATTGTGTGCGGGCAAGCTTGAATCCGATGACCGGGGTGATAATATATCTGTCAAGCGCTTACAGACATCGTCGATGAATTAAGCGCTATGTACACGTGGAATATTACTTGCCAATTGCATGTTTTTATGCGATTAACAGAGCAAAATACAGAAGGAGTTGAAATGGTGCACTAGATTCATAGTTGTGAGATTTTACAAAGTGCTAAATAAATATGTTTTCAGATTACTTCTGCACTTTTCGTATGTTTCTATATCGCAAAGGCAAGTTATGCCATAAAACTTTCCATAAAAAAGTTTTCCCCAAATCCCAATAGCTTAATTCTACCTCGCTCTGCGCTTTGTCTTCATCGATATCACTTGCAGCAAAATTGAGGGTCCATAATCATGTGCATTCGTCTATCATTTTTATTTATTGGCTCTCTTTCTTTGTTTGTAATGTTCCCATTCTCTCAAAGGTTTCAATGTTTGTATGTTTGTTCGTTGTTTTTTTTATTTATCGATTTTACTCCACCTTCATTCAGCATGTTGAGTCGAAAACTCAAGAAAGAAAAAAAAATGGTTGTAGATGGATTCCTATTTTCATTGTTTTTTCTAACGGATACAAGTAAGATTGTCATTAAAACAGTGTTTGTTCATAACATATCCTTACACACATGCAGACTATGCAGTGCCATTCAAGGCTTGAACAGCTAAGGGAATATACAGCGGGAATAGATAAAGTGTATCCCCCAAATCTGGCTTCTTCCTCATCTGATCTAGATTTCGCCATTCATACGGAAGCGATCGATATCGCGTTTCGGTAGCAAATAATGTAGGCGCGTATTCGCATGCGATACGGGCACTGTTAGCATGTTGGCGCTTAATTTGTCAATTTACTCACCAAAACCGACAGTATATCTCAACGGTATTGATTATATGCTCACCTGTTGAACGAGGCACATATCGCGTTGGTTTGTCATGAACGGATAAGACAATGAATTTAAAGAATTTGTTTCTTCTATTTCTGAGCAATAAAATGTAGGACGTGGTGAAAGGTCGTCTGGGGGGCATTCAGGGTTATAGCTGTATCAAACCAGAAGCGATCTGTGGTCAATTGCAGAGGGCGGACGACAAACAAAAATTAAAATAAAATTGGCACCCTTTAATTTTGAAGAAAAAACGTGATGACATTGTGAATAGCAGATTTGATTAGGCCTATCTTTACAAAAGGAGAGAAGAGCAACGTCGGTTTCGTTTCATCTCTCTATCTCCTTTTCTCTCTTCAATTAACCCCATCAGTCATCAAACCTCGTTACTTGTGCCCCTGCCTTTCATTCCATACATTACTATAGTCGGAGTGCAAGGCGACCGAATTGGCCTATGTGTTATGTAGTTTTCGTTTGCTCGTCACATTCCTAGCATCGCGTCCATATTATGACGGATTTTCTTCTCAGTGTCCGAAATTCGAGGCGTACAACCCATACGTGAAATTGTGTATTTCAGGGCTATGTAAAAAAAAGAATGGATTATATGAAGTAAAACTGCTCCTTTTGTGTCGCTCTTCCTAAAAAATATTTGATGAAGGGAGTGGCAGGCAGAAAACATGTACCAGGGCAACAGTGGCACCTATCCCATCCCTGTATGTCCCATCCTTCTTCTCCAGACTTCCTCACATTCTCTATCCATTTCCTTTTCTTTTCTCTCTTATTTCCAGTTCTCTCTCTCTCTCTCCCTCTCTCTATTTCTGTTTTTCAGTCTCTCCCACTATCTTTATTTCTTTCTCTCTCCCTCTATCTCTTGGTCTCTCCCACTCTCTTTCTTTCTCTGTAACCCTCTCTCTCTCAAGTATATTATATATCTACAGTAGATCTTAACCCATCAGGTTTCACTTCTCTCACCATTTAACTTTTCTTTCTCTTCCTCCAAGACACTGCATCTCTTCTGTCTTTTCTTTCACTCCTCTGTCTTCCCTATACCCCTTCTTTTTCTTCTTCTTCTATTTTCTTGGTATATCTCTCTCCCCTCTAGCCTTTCGCTCTCTCTCTCTCTCTCTCTCTCTCTCTCTTACTCAAGCATATTCTATATCTACAGCAGATCTTAACATTAGTTTTCATGTCTCCCACTATTTAAATTTAAAGTGTACACACATAAGCAATGACAGGTCCACACATATATCTTTGGAAGTCCGATGTACTTGCGTTTATTTTATTATTTATTCTCTGTCATATCCAACACAGAAAGGGTCTAGATTCATATCTGTGGAACATGAGCAAATTAATATTTGTTTTCAGCATTCACTGCCAATCCTACTGTAGAAATAATGTCATTTTAAGAATGGAATAGAGGAGATAAAAATCAAGATTGCAATCATTTTCACTAAAGAGCTTTGCATCACAGCAGTTACTTGCTCTATGATACCAAATAACATGTACAAAAATCACATTGCTAGAATAACTAATAATATACAGCTTAAATCTCACTTTGATACAGTGTATCATTTCATTTTAAAAACCCTTGCAAATATCTTCAAATCTGCTAAGCACATAATGACAAATAATATTCTCTTTCGCTATAGCTGCACATTCTATTTGTGGCTAATTGATACATTCTGAACAATTCAAATATATTTTAAAACATGCGATGTCCCATTACCATGCTTTCTGTGTATGTTCCAAATTCATCAAATAATTTTGTTTCTAAATATTTCTCCTCTAAACTATACAATCAACACCCCTAATACCCCGACACCACCACCTCAACATTTATTCATGGCTGTACATTAAAACTGAATAAAACAGAAGAGGCAAGTTTTGAGAAGAAGTATGAAACATAAAAACAAAATAAAAACAGTTGTGGTAAAATAAATGACCTTAGTTTAAAAGCACTGTGGGTCAAACATGTAAATTTCATTAAAACTGCTGAGGCCTGAGGGTAGATATGTATTGTGTCGGAAATATCCAGGTATGTGTATATCTATCTACAAAGTGAAAGTCTGAGAAAACAATATGAAATGATAATATTAACTTGATAACGTTTGTATGAAATAGATGAAAATCACATGGTTGATTTGTGGTAAATTGATTACATGAATGGCAATTGCATGTATTCATTGTCGTATCTTATTACATGCAGATTAGTAAGTGCATGTAGGACCTTTGCTGCGTCCATATACCATTTTCATCCCTACTTGCCATTAATTATAAAGTATCCACACAAAAATGCCATGACTTATGGCGTATGTGATCAAGACTTCCAAGCATAGACACTTCAAGAAGAAATTGAATAAGACTCAGTTATTTCACTACCGAATAATCCCTTGATTTTGCAAATGTACATTGGTTGTAATATTCACGTGTGTGAGGGATAGCCAATACATGTACCATTAAATGAGAAATATTGAAGATTAATACCTTGTAAAGACTGAATATTGATTGTATTGTAAAAAGAAATAAAAAGTGAGGTACAGTAAAAGCCACATTTTAAAACAACTGATCCTGTGACAAGCACATTGTTGCACATCCACATACAGCATTGTGTTCAGTTGCGCAATAAAAGGAAGGTGGCAACAACTTTTACATTGTTAAGTGTGACTTCTTGGAGAAAAAATTGAGGACATTTAAAAAAACAAAATCAAAATTACTTATAAACACCTCTTGATTTGCACCATCGCTTTGTAGTTACACCTCTCTTTAAATTAAAAATAAAAAAGCCCATCAAATGCATCATTTCTTGTCATAGTTCCCATCCAAATATCAGGGGAGGATCAGAGGGATTCAACTCCACACACAACTTACAACGATTTTACAACTTTCTGCTTCTAAAGCGAACTACACCACATCTTCTAGTTTTCTATACTCACTGCAAAGATTCAAATCTCTTCGAACCACAAATCTATCTCTTCGAACCACATCTATCTTCTTCTCATTTTCTTTTCCACGGAAGAGAAAAACATGGTTAAAAGAATATTTTGTTGGCTGCCCACGAGAACGCTGTATGAGCTACGTTGTCAACGGCAGTCACGGCCGGTAAAAGGTAAACAGATTATGAAAACTCACTGAGAATCACACAACACAGAGGCTACAAACCGGGTATGCACATGTGAGACTACACAGTCAATGCAACCAAATTTACGCAATATGCCCTTGGTGAAGCGCCTACAAAGTACAAACTATTTCATTCAACTGTAATGTATAAATGTATCTCAATACCCAGAATTAAAATTGCAGACACAAGTTGTTGCTAGGTTGGACAAACATTATTGCTTGCCTTACCTTACAACATGTAATATATGCAATTTGCGTTCTGACTATAAAAATACAGTTATTTGTAATGGATGAATGAAATCACTTGTATAGAGGCGCTTAAGTATAAATTTGGTTACATTACGAAAAATGGCCTATTGTATGGCCAGTCTTCTTCTTTACTACGCTCATTACTCAGCCATTATAAATTATTGTATCAAATTCATTCATCAAATGTCCAGGGTCATGCATTTGAAATTAATGTAATGAATCTAAATTCTGCTGATTTTGTGAATTTACTTTTACTCATTCCTAAAGACTCAAGGCCATATTGAGGTGGCTTTTGAAGAGAACTACTCGTGAAAACAAGATGTAAGGTATATATTTTTTTAATGCAGATTTGATTAAAACTACACTATTCTTCTGAGATTCTAGCACACCAAAGCAAGACAAATGCATTCCGTTGAAGAGGAAAATAAATGTATATATGTGCAGTATATAGCTTTTTAAAATCATTTTGTTTGCATTTTCCCCACCTCAATATATTTCTCGAGTGCATTGTGCCGGTAGAAGTTTGCAAAGGATTTCTACGGAAATGTTCAATCATGGCACCATTCAATTCCAAGAACACTTTTATCCTTAATCTTTTTAAACATTACCCCAGAAGCTATCAAGATACAGCCCTTTGTCCACTCTGCCAATTCTGAGACCTATTACCTGTTTCCTTTTCAAGTGTCATGATAATAACCTTCTCAGACACAACTTCCTGAGCTTTTCTCTTGGAAGTCCCTCCAGGTTTACAATTGGGTATTGTCATTCGGAAGGCTTTTGTTGTTCGTATGTATCCACAGGCAGAGTAATTGTCCATTACATGTGACTTGCTAATGGCATTGTAACATTTTTTTCTCTCAACAGTGCACAAGGGATTTTGCATCCAGGTGCCATGTAATATATGTAAGTATATGTTTTCCTTTGAAGCTGTGAAAAAAAAGGCTTAAAACTGTCATGTGCTTGGTTCTTCAAACGTTGTGTTTAAAGCTACTGTATCTCTGCCTGTCTGTTCCTCAGTCTATATCTTCCTTCCTTTCTCTCTCTCTCTCCCTGTCTCTCTGTCTCTCTCTATCTTTCTTCCTTTCTCTCTCTCTCTATGTCTCTGTCTCTCTGTCTCTCTCTTTCACTGCCAATAACCAATTCATTTTTTTGTATATGAAGTGCGTTCAGAGATTTACAATTATTCAGTTTTCTTTTGTTTTGTTTTGTTTTACAGTACAAATGGGAATTCCCATTCAGGCAGTGTCTCTTTTAAAGGTGCATGCTTTTTTCTAAAGCTGTAAACAAGGGCTCAAAACTATAACGGGCTTGCTTCTTTTCTATGAAAACAGTCTCTCTCCCCGATTCTACATCTCTACCTTTCCTTCTGCCTTTTTCTCTCACCCTCTCTCTCTCTCTCTCTCTATCTTTCACTCACCCTCTTTGCATTTCTATTTGTCCTTACCTCTGTATCTCGATCTCTCTCCATGGGGCAGACAGGAAGAGAGAGTATATCATGATTTCAATAAACTATTTAATATATGTGTTACACAAGGAAGTTTCCTATAAGGGGAACCTTTGCTAAACACAACAGTATATTTTCATTTCATTGAAACTTCCACATCACTGACCAAACTATAATGGGGATGAAACACTACAAAAATAAACGCCTTTTCTCTACTGCCTTGTTTGGTCAGGATCTCGCAAAATATATATGTCTCAACAGGATGTTCATATCATGACAATTTTGTCTTTAACCTAGCTTATTGCTTATACCACCAACCCAAACAGCCACAAAGATCAAGAGCCTCTTGAAACACTCTCCAGAGCTTTCTTTTGCCTTTTGTCATTTTTTAAAACTGATGTCTCCTTTCCTATGATCCAGAAGCATAGTTTGTCTTTTTGTTCTTTTTTAAAATGAAGTAGAGGCTTTTGCTTGAGATCCCCCCTTATACGGATTTCAGACTATTCAATAAGAAGCAAAGCTATGAGAAGGAAGTAATCAATTATTCAAAGTGATTGTATCATCAGTATCCAGTCTCCAGTTGATTTCAAGTAAACTAAACTCTAAATCATGCCGTAATCAGGTTCTTTTACCTCATTGTTTGGTGGGGTGGAAATCCACTGCTTGACATGACTGACTCTGCGGACTGCTCCCCCTGGCCAACACTCATGATGGGGCCACCCACGGCCGCAGTGGTGGTGAACTGCATGTTAGAATGTTGCTGCTGCTGCTGATGCTGTTGCTGTTGCCATCCTGGATCATGGTGTTGCTGTGGGTGTTGATGATGGTGTTGCTGATGTTGTTGAGCCTGTTGCTGATGTTGCTGGGCATGTTGTGGGTGCTGCTGATGTTGTTGCAGATGTTGCTGGTGGTTGGGATGGTGATGGGAGGGCTGTGGGGTGTGGCTTGAGCGTGGCAGACTAGGGTTCAGACCGAGAGAACTGTAATGGAATGACTGAGCACTGCTCAGAAGAAATAAAACAAGAAAATGACATGTTTTGAAGAATGACTAAACCAAAATCTTCACACTTTTAATAAAATTGTTTTTTTAACAGAAATCAAGATATATCCAAGATATAGCAGCACTAATTTCAAGGAGCTAATACTTTCATCTCACATGCCACTAACCCTTCCCAATAAAAAAGATTTTGTTTTTCTTAATTTTTGATTTTTTAAATAAGATGGATTTTAACATTAAAAAGTACACATTTATGCAAAGTATGACTACTCTTAGCCCAACAAGATACATTGGTTTATTCAATGACAACTCCCATCATGAAAAGCCCAATGTATACATGTACCATTAGCTAAGTCCTATACAGAACTAAGGAGGTAAATGAGATATCATACTTACATATCCTGTCTGTCAGATTGTGATTGACCAAATGCCTGCTGCACCTGAAGCTGTGCTTCCAAAGGCATCACGCCTCCGGACATGGAGCCATCAGATTCAGCAGGACTCCTTGGACTTCCTGCAGAGGCCATCTGTGGCTCACCATATTGCTGCTGTTGTTGTTGCCTCCCTTGTTGCAGATCTTGTTGCTTGTGCCATGCCACTTCTGCAGCAGTAGGCTGCTGAGACCACCCGGACATGAGGGCTTGCTGTTGCTGCTGCTGCTGTTGGTGGTGGAGATGCGGAGGACTGACTGCCATGTTCTGGCTCTGACTGGACAAGAACCCTGCGGGCAACACAGAAGGACCGAAGGGGCTGTGTCCAAAATATTGGGCCATTGCTGGTGGGGTTGAGGCACCTGGAGGGGACTGGAGAAGATTGTGGGGCGGCGAGGCAGCAGGATGCTGCTGCATCTGAGGATGAAAGCCTGGCTGCTGATGGGAAGGTGGAGAAGCGATGCGATTGTAAGGAGACGACGGTGAGAAGGCGGAGGGGCTTCCCCAACCAGGGTGTTTCAATTGTTGCTGCCACTGCTGCTGTTGCTGTTGTGCTTGCCTGGGGTCGATAGGTATTGGTTGTGACTGATTGGCCGAGCGGTGCTGCTGTTGAGATTCCTTCTCCTGCTCCTGGTCTTGGTTAGCGTACCCTAATCCAGGGGGGCATCCGATCACTTTCTGCGACGGCGGCAAGTACCCCTGCTGTTGCTGCGAGAACAGCTGCTGTGGACTAAGTTGTTTCCGAGGACTCGGTTGCTGCTGAGGATGTTGTGGAAGTGTTTGTTGTTGACTAGATCGGTGATGCTGAGCCTGACTACCTGGTGACATACCCTTGGTTTGAAGAAACTGGTCTTGTCTGAACTGTTGTTCTACCTGTTCCATGGACTTGGCACCTGGAGGCAACCGTGGTGCCTGCTGCTGTTGCTGTTGCTGCTGCTGTTGCTGCTGCTGCTGTTGCTGCTGTTGCTGCTGTTTACTCTTTAGTTGCTGTTCAATCTCATCAAGTGTTTGGGCACTGGCTGGAGTTGTTGGTGGTCTCATAAAAGGAGACTGGGTCGGTGCCTGATAATAGAGTTTAAAAAAATAAAACAATTCCAACATTTTCCAGGAATATGTGCATAAAGTGCTAGGATGCTTCATACACATAGCTTTCTCTGTTTAAAGAGCAACGACTTGAATTGTTATTTTATAATACCAAAGTGCCTATATCTTCTATTTTATTTTACCAATGTAAATCCTTTGGCCTGTCTACAAAATTGTAGTCTTCTTTCTTTGAATGATGGAATGCATGAAAGATGAAGAAACAGACAATCCTCAATTTCCAAAATAAAATACAGGACTTTTAAACTGTATTCATAATACATGTAAATGTAAATATACATACAAAAGAAACCTTGTCATTAATATTTGCAGGGTCCTTAATTCCTGTATACTTTCTGGCACTTAACATTAGAAGAAACAAAAAATACATATAATGTATTCCAGGGGGTGTTTCACAAAGATCCTAAGTCGAACTGAACTCTAAGTTGGACTTAAAAATTATGGAGAGCCATTTGTAGTCTTAAAATAAAATATATTCAAAAGCGAAAATTCAAGTATTTTAGACTACTGTATATAAATTCCAGATCAAGAACATGAAATCTCCTTGATAATAGAAAATATGACTGATTTGAATCAACATTTTATTCCTTTCAAAGCCACACTGTACTACTTGTACAGTACTTGTACTACTCTATATAGAAAACAATGCCTAATTGGTGCATGTTGGTCCCCCATGATCCTCTTTTTCTTATGTTAATTGAGAGCTGAGTTGACGAGATAGCCACCTGTCAGTGACCTCGCTGGGTGGTCTAATCCCTCCTGTGCATACTATACTATACTATACTGTGCAAAATATTTTCATAGATGCTAACAGCTTTCCATAATGGTTAAGTCCAACTTAAAGATAAGTTCAACTTAGGATCTTTGTGAAACACCCCCCCAGGAAGTATATAGAAGAAGTATTGTCTGTAAAACAAAAGAGTGATTTCCCTACCTGTCCTTGCATTGGCGAATGTTTGCCCATGACCTGAAACAAGGCTGCTAACTTATCCTGTTGCTGTTGCTGTTGCTGTTGCTGTTGGATCATTGCCTTCAACAAATGGAATAAAATGTGTGAGAGATTTGTTGTTAATTATAAAAGAGGTTCTTGATTAGATGCTGCTTATAAGTATCAGCTTTCATGGTGATGTAGATATACATTAGGTTTACGATTACACCATGTGAGAGAGAGGGGGAGAATTGGTTTGAAACATTGAGCCACCCCACTACCCATCCTCTCCAAGCGGCGCTATAGTTCTCCTTAGAACTATAAGCTCAAGAAAGATTACCAACAGTCTCTTTCAAGACTATCAATACCTAGTCCTTTTCAGGTCTTCACACACTCAAGAAAGAAATACTACAGACAGTCCTTTTCAGGACTCCCCAATCCTCCCCCCCCCCCCACTCTCTCTCACATGGTGCAACCGTAAACCTACAGTATAGGTTCTTGATTATAGACGAGCTAACTGGTAATAAGTCATGTTTTGAAGCTTGTGCATTTAATAGTGCTACGCCACAATGAGCCGGATGATGAACAAGACTTGTCAAGTTCACAATGATTGAGACTTAAAGGGGGTGTAGCACGACGAGACTTCGTGTCATTCCCGTGGCCTGACTCAGGGCCAGTCGGGTAAAATACGACTATGGACGACGCGACCGCAGTATTCACGTGCCTGCAACATACGCGAAACCGAAACGTGAGGAGAACTTTGGTCTGTTTTGCAAACACTAGCGCGTGCTTACCGTTAATCAAATCTATTCGTTTACGTGCAGTTGTTCAAAAGAAGTCGAGGATGGCGTTAACCAGTATTTGCCATGCTAGACCCCTTTTAGCCTGCCTGCATTGAACGATCACTAATGCACTTGCAAACATGAATTATTTGTATAGTAAAGCATAAATAAGTGCATAACCTATTGAACAAAGTTTCAATGTAAATTCAACTTGTTCTTGTGCACAGGCAAGCAAAATAATGATCAGTAATTGTGCTTCCCTGCACAGCATCGCTGCAAATGTGCTGACATCCCATCAATACACGTGTAATAAATTGAACATCAAGGCTTTTGTGCGAATATGTGCTTTTGTTTGCAATGTATTAGCTTTTGATATGATAAAGATACAGGTACATATATGCTGACTGAAGCTTGAGTATTATGAATGTTTAGAAATGCAAGACCGAAAAGAAAAAAAATACAGTAATCCAATTGCTCTTTACAATACTGAACCAGAAAAAAAAAAGATGTAATTTCTGTATAGCATTGTATAGTTTTTTGCCTTTCAATATCCAGAAAATAATTCTTTCCTATATACTTGTACAGATAACAAAGGCTTACTAAACAATAAAACAAGCAATTTATGAAGCACTCTCATAAAAACTCATTCTATTTTTCATGGTGCTTTACATTACTTCAAATTTATTTAAGTCTGAGGTTAATTTTAATCATTGGAAAAATAAAGATTAATTGAAAGTCTTAAAAAAAACATCCCAAGAAAGGGAATCATAGATGGTTAAGGAGCACATGCCTGACATTCACATTGTAATTTTATACATGTGGTTTATGGATGTGTGCTTTGTTAAAGAAAAAGTGATGCATGACAAAGTAAATGTAACTTAGATGAATCCAACTAAACAGTGCATGGTTGTCAGAATGTCAGATGAATTAGATGACAGAGGGTAAACTTTCTGAAAATAGAAGCACTGCATGATGAAAGTAAATGAACATAGAAAAACTACATAGAAGTTGAGAAAAGTTTAATGACAACCTAAAAGCAATAGAAGAAATGAGATGGGTTTCCATGTCTTGTAGGAATTAACAATTTGCATACACCAGGAAATTAAACCGAAAACAAGCGCTAAACTTCAGAAGATTCTTTTTATTTGTTGAAACATGTACATGTATTAAACAATAGGCAATTTCTGGTCTTTTGTTTTGAGTGAGTAAATGGCCATCATGCATGCGAACATGTTAAGCTCAAATACTCAGCTTGACGTGTTGGAGGAACTTACCATCATCTCTTCCGGAGGCACGTTGTTGAACCCCATGAGGGCTTGCAGGGGGTGGTTCTGGAACCCCATAGGTCCCATGGGTGGGACCTGGGGTGGACAAACACCCCCGGGGAACTGGGAGGGGGGTAATGGGTTAGGGGCGGGGCCACTTGGGTTATCCCTGACTAAACTATCCTCCGGGATGCCGGTTGTATTCGGAATCAGCCGATGACCGGGAGCATTTCTCGCATCCTGCTCATGCTGTGCTTCATGTGTCTGTTGTTTATTTGGTAACTTGGAAGGGACAGCCTCCTTCTTTTGTCCATGTTTATCTCCCATACGTGGATGCCCTGCATTCGCTGGGCTCTTTTCTCCCTGTTCCCCTACTCTACCATGAGCCTCAGCCCCGCCCCTCTCTGTTACCATACTTGCTTCCCCTGCCCCCCTCCTAGGACCCATCTGTTTTTCCTTCCTCATCTTAGAACGGACATACCCTGGATTGGGGTCTGAGGGATTACCAGGGGTAGACGAGGGGTTAGATTCCATGCTACCCTTGGATTTCTGTATGAGATTAAAGAGTGAGTTGGATGAATGGGGTGAAGAGTTAATGTTTAGTGTTCCAAGATAGTCCACATCAAATGAAAAATATGCTCATGACCATCTATCATAAAGATGAACATTGAAATAAAAAATATATTGACACACATATGCTAAAGAAAAAAAAATACACCCACAAAAAAAAAGAGAGGGAAAAATCAATACAATACACTACAATACAATAAAGTCATTTCTATAGCACTCTTAATACAAACTAACTGTTGTTTCACAGCGCTTTTCATAAAAATAAAAATTAAAAATTATTGAAGAAGTCCAAATCCTGTTGTCCAGATCTACATTTTCTTCAAATGGTAAAATGTGTTTCTACAAAAGCACAGGATTACCCCCCCCCCCCAACAAAAAATAAAATAAATAAAAAATAAAATAGAAATAGGTGTCCAGTCAGAGAGTGTGTAATGACAACACATTACTGGTTTTGAGTTTATTTTACAAGTCTGATTTAGAAATGCACATACACATTCATCATGAAATGTTAAATGAGAGAAGAAACGATGCAGGTAAAAACATGATTACACAGGATATGGTATGCATATAGCACAGTATTAGTTCAGAAGAGAGACTCGGAACTGAAGTGAAGTGTTTCAACACAAATCTGTTTCAGACGGAGCCTGGATAAGATACAATTAAAACAACCCAAAGTCATCAAACAATCACCATTTTGTCACTATGGGTGGGATGAATAAACAAGTGAAATTTAATGATACATAATGATCCAACTATATGCAACAAACTTATTTCTGTGCACTTAGACTTATAGGAAATCTGTGACCCTACTCTAAAATTGAAAATGGGATGGTATCATTTAATGATGTTATGTTGGAAAATAGAAGAAAATAGAGCATATTAATTCATTTCAGCGGCAAGATGAGATCTACGTGCATCTAACCTTTTCTGTTCCAGGAGCTTTTTCTGTCTTGGCGTTGGTAGAGGGGGCTGTTTGCTTAGGTTCTTTGGCTTGTTTGACCTGCTTGTCTTCCGCTTTCTTGACAGGAATAGGTTTGATGGGGTACAGCTGACGGGCCACATCGTCTACCGATCGCTCCGTGGTTTTGTTGGGTTTAGACCGTTCTCTTTCGTCCTTAGTATTGCTGGCTGGACTATCCTTCACGGATGAGTTGCTGCTGACAGCCTGGATGATGGAGGAGATTAAAATGCATTCAATTGCTTTGATGATCATTTGTAACCATGGACATTTTACATAAAGTGGGTGGGGGCACTCACTTCTATGACTTTTTACAATCAAGTTAAGCCCGTCTGTACTAGTTTGGCCAGGGGGGGTTAGACCTCCCTGCAAGGTCACTGACAGGTGGTTATCTCATCAAATCAGCTCTCAATTAACATAAGAAAAAGAGGATTATGGGGGACCAACAGGCACCGATCAGGCATTGTTTGACATATAGTAGCTATAAGTAGTGCAGTGGGACTTTAAGAAGTCAGAAAACTTCATCTCTTATCTTTAAGACCCCATTTTATATTATCATTTACTATCAGTGTTGTTTTACATGTTAAACCTTTATTCAGCACCAAAGTCAGTGTAGACCATCCTTCCTAGTAACCTCTCAAACTCACCCCAAATTTCATACACCTTCAACGAATATACATGGATGGGAGCTAAAAGGCAAGGGTTTGTTAGGATTTACCTCTAGGGATTCTCCAGTTTGATTCTGTAAGGAAAACCTTGAGTTACCATGGAAATGAATCATCATGCTAAATGATATGTACATTATTTGAATTGGGTAGAAATCATGTATGCACATAATGTGTGAAGTACTAAAAGGTTAATGTAGCCCCCGAACCGGCATCTATGGAGTCTTGCGGGTCTGACAATCTATCAACATTTTAGGATTGCTATAGAATATAAACGCCATATACATACTGGTGATTCAACCTTGTTTGGAGTGCTGACTGGTCTCTGTTTAGATTCTGATGACCTGTTCCTCTCTTCCCTCATATTTGGGGAGTCGGTTGATTTATTTTCTCTAACTGCTCCTCTTGCAGGAGAGCCTGTATGAATGGGGAAAAACATAGGGTGTATTGTAGTATAGTAATGTCCCTTAATTTTACATATTTTATTGAGTCATTAGTATTCAAAGAGTAGTCATTTTATTTATCCTTGAATTGGATTATACCAGCACCGGAAACATCAAAAAAAGCAAACATGTCTTTTACACACATTAATACCAGCACATATTTCAATATTGACTAAACCTTGAGTTCACATGCCTTCTCATAATAACATTTCACATATCACAAGTTTGTGGAAAATTTAAAAAGTGGGGCAGCTCAAAGTTTGCAAAGAAGGTTGCACATGAACACACGGAGGTGTCATTTTGTTAAGGGAAAGGAAAAAGGGCCCCTCACCTCTACTACCCCCCCCCCCCTCCCCCGCACCTCTCCTCCCATCTTTCATATGTCCTTTCCCCCTCACCAGTATCATTTGGGGATGGTCTATCTCTCCTCTCCCTATCTCTCTTCTCTAGTTCCTTCCTTTCCATCCCTCCATTCCCCCCCCCCTCCCCCGCACCTCTCCTCCCATCTTTCATATGTCCTTTCCCCCTCACCAGTATCATTTGGGGATGGTCTATCTCTCCTCTACCTATCTCTCTTCTCTAGTTCCTTCCTTTCCATCCCTCTCCCCTCCCCTGTCCCTCTCCTCCCATCTTTCATATGTCCTTTCCCCCTCACCAGTATCATTTGGGGATGGTCTGTCTCTCCTTTCCCTATCCCTCTTCTCTAGTTCCTTCCTTTCCATCCCTCTCCCCTCCCCTGTCCCTCTCTTCCCATCTTTCATATGTCCTTTCCCCCTCACCAGTATCATTTGGGGATGGTCTGTCTCTCCTTTCCCTATCCCTCTTCTCTAGTTCCTTCCTTTCCATCCCCCCCCCCTCCCCTGCCACTCTTCTCCCATCTTCCATATACCCTTTCCCCTCACCAGTATCATTTGGGGATGGTCTATCTCTCCTCTCCCTATCTCTCTTCTCTAGTTCCTTCCTTTCCATCCCTCCCTCCCCCCCCCCCTCCCCCGCACCTCTCCTCCCATCTTTCATATGTCCTTTCCCCCTCACCAGTATCATTTGGGGATGGTCTGTCTCTCCTTTCCCTATCCCTCTTCTCTAGTTCCTTCCTTTCCATCCCTCTCCCCTCCCCTGTCCCTCTCTTCCCATCTTTCATATGTCCTTTCCCCCTCACCAGTATCATTTGGGGATGGTCTGTCTCTCCTTTCCCTATCCCTCTTCTCTAGTTCCTTCCTTTCCATCCCCCCCCCCCCCTCCCCTGCCACTCTTCTCCCATCTTCCATATACCCTTTCCCCTCACCAGTATCATTTGGGGATGGTCTATCTCTCCTCTCCCTATCTCTCTTCTCTAGTTCCTTCCTTTCCATCCCTCCCTCCCCCCCCCCCTCCCCCGCACCTCTCTTCCCATCTTTCATATGTCCTTTCCCCCTCACCAGTATCATTTGGGGATGGTCTATCTCTCCTCTACCTATCTCTCTTCTCTAGTTCCTTCCTTTCCATCCCTCCCTCCCCCCCCCCCCCTCTCCCGCACCTCTCCTCCCATCTTTCATATGTCCTTTCCCTCTCACCAGTATCATTTGGGGATGGTCTATCTCTCCTTTCCCTATCCCTCTTCTCTAGTTCCTTCCTTTTCATCCCCCCCCCCTCCCCTGCCATTCTTCTCCGATCTTCCATATGCCTTTCCCCCTCACCAGTATCATTTGGGGATGGTCTGTCTCTCCTCTCCCTATCTCTCTTCTCCATTTCCTTTCTCTCCATCCCCCTCCTCTTAATGGGGCAGTCCTTCACAAAGTGACCGATCTTGCCGCAGATACGGCAGCCTCGGTCGTTGGGCGGCGGCTCCCCACCGCTTAGAGCCTCAAGGTTCAGGAAATAATTCTGGAGGAGAGAGAGAAGAGAATGGCATGTTAAGTACAGGCTTGGGGTCAAGTAAACTGATTTCATAACATTAAACTTTGAAAGTAAATTTTCATGTCCAATCACATTTTCTAAGCTTCAGAAGTGCCAAGTATAGCTGATGGCTAAAATATAAACACAGCGCGTGCCTTCCACTGGCTTGTATAAAAAACAGCTTGCGTTTTTCTATCTCCTTGTATACACATTATCATAGGTTTTAACTTATGTGCAGATAATGCCTCGGTAATGTTACATCTTGAAAACATGAACTTTGGAGGATGCTTTGGCAAAGCATGCTGAGGTACTAGATGGTAAGGTACGTCAGGAAGTAAATTTTGACTCTGTGGAGTTTTCTTGACAAATTCCCCTGTCTGTTGGGAGATTGTGATGTTGAGAGTGAACTGGCCCTGTATCAGGCTGCCAGCTCCATGTCTACAATTGCAACTGAGACAGTTAGGGTGGATTAGCAGTTGAACACGATATTACAGATTGCAGATGCTAGTGGAGGCAAGAAGTTTCCCCACTCTGAGTAAAGTGATGTAGGGGATCTTAGTAATCCCCTTACTGGTCCGTAAAAACAAGACAGACTTTCGACCCAACTTGAACATTGGAAACCATCTTGATTAAGAAGCTGTCCTAAAGTGCTCCTTGTTGCCTAAGAAACTACAGCAAAGACATGACAAGAAGAGCAAAGCAAGCACCACACAATGTTCTGAACAAGTCAGCTTTTGAAGGAAAAGCAAGCACAAGTATCAGGCAGAAAGGTGGGTAAAATCTGTCATCATGTATTTCCTCCTTTTTACTATTTTAGTTTAAAAAATGAAAAGTATTGGTAAAATCAGCTTTTGAAATTGCAGAAACCCTGGACCCCACCTGTTCTCGCGAGCTTGGCTCGTTGGCTATGCTCACTTAAATTATTGGCATCTCTGTAAAGATACCTACTTCATCATCATATCTACTACTTGTGAATCCACCAAGATGTTTAAAGATTACCGGAGTGTTGGCTCAGTCAGTAGAGCGTCAGCCTCACAACCGGGAGGTCGTGGGTTCGAACCCCGGCCGCGTCATACCAAAAGACGTTAAAAGATGGGAGTTGTTGCTACCTTGTTTGGCGTTCAACAATAAGGGATAGAGCAACATCGATCTGGCGCTGCTCAGTGGCTGCCGGGCTCACGATCAATTGGGCGAAAAGAATTTCCGTTTCGGTTTAATAAAATTTGGAGTGGACTATTATTATTATTGAATAAATAAAAAATTAAATAAAATAGAGAGAGAGAGCCATATACATATATATATGGGGGCGTGTGCACAGGTTAAAACATGTGGGGAATGTTCACAGTCAGGGATTTAAAGGACTGGCTTACCATTATATGTTCCCTAGGAACCCTACGAGGGGTGCCAAACAGATCCCTGGCATTGCGTAACACTTGGATGATGTATATTGCCACTGTAAGTAAAAGAAAGCAAGAAAAAATTGAAGAGCACAATAATACCTTGTCAGACTATGATGCCCAATCAGTGTGATACCACAAACACATGCTTATATCATGATCACATGCTATTGTCTGACAGAAAAAGATAAGTAGATATTGCATAATCAAGATCTAAGCCTGCGATTGGTCACCACTGTGGGCATACTATATGCTTTTGACCAAAGGAGGACGCACTACATGAGCATACAAGGTTGAAAAAAACATTAAATAGGGCATGATCACTATGCATATATGAAAACCCTATGATTTGTAAATATTCCAACAAATAAATACATTTTGACATGCATATTTTCAACAGCATTTTCTCTCAATAACGATAAACACTTAAAATACAGGGTGAAAAAAGAAGTATCCCCTACTAATAATTTCAGGCGAGTTAAAAAAAAAAATATAACCTTCAGTGACCTAAAGACTGTAGTAGGTCTCTTAACTTCGTCTCATGGAACAGCATAGTCTTAAAGTTCACATCAGGAATAATCAAAACCATGCCCCTAAAAGCAGACAACAATGGAATAGTTACTCAAAGCAAGACTGCACTACTTGTAGCTACTTGCGCCCTCTATACAGCCAACAATGCCTAAGCGGTACCCGTTGATCCCCCATGGTCCCCTTTCTCTAATTGAGAGCTGATTTGATGAGATAACCACCTGCCAGTGACCTTGCAGGGAGGTCTAGTCCCTCCTGGCCAAAGTAGTGCAGATAGGCTTTAATGTACCCTGCTCATGATAGTTATGTTCAATTTTCCCCTCTTTCACATGATAGTCATATCAATGTTTGACGGTCTCTTTCCACTTACTCTTCTTGGAGGCTGCCCCTCCCAAGTTATGCTCCAGATCAAAGGGGTCCTCGATGGCCACGCCCTTCTGCGGGGTCATCCACAGCTTCTCAAACCTTGTCAGAGGTTTGTGCTGACGTATGCTCACCACGTACTTGGTGAAGTCAAACTCCTCGGTGTAGAAGCGCAGCATGCCAAGCCACAGTGAGCCGATGCTCTCCTTGTTCTTGAACTGCCCCTTCCATACTCGAGACTGGCAAATAGGACAGAATTAAAAGATGTTAAAGCAGAGCTGCCAATCTTGTGCGACCAAAAAAAGGAATCATGATGGCAAAAAAAAGGAATTTCAAGCAAAAAAAAGGAATTCATCAAAACGAAACTTACAACCACGCGCGACATACTTCCAATACAGAAATGTTCATTCATCATGCTGTTTTTTTGCATACAAGCAGGAAATTTTTTTGCTGGTTTTTTTTGCTTGTTATTTTGGTATTATCGGCATTCCATTCTTTTTGAGAATATTTAATAAGTATGTTTTTTTAATTTAGTTTTCTATTGAATTTGTCATCACATCACCATTTTAGGGCAGGTGTTTGACGTGCGGTATGTAAAAAAAAAAAAAAAAAAAAAAAAAATTGGAGGAAAAAACGGAGTAATTCCGGCAAAAACGGAATGGTTGGCAGCTCTGTTAAAGGCATTGTTTAACAATGTTTCCAGTTTGACCATTCTGAGATGCATGGTTCTACGTGTTATCAGCCTCTGTGATATGGTGTAACATTAAAGCCCTAACAAAATTGCGCTTCAAAATGATAATGAAGTGCTTCAAAAGAGTGTCCGGTTTTACCATACTCATTTTCTCTAATAAATTGTAGTGTAATAAAACTGTTGGGGAAAATGGTTTTTGAAATTTCAAATTCTAATCATAAATATCTTGATAATCAGACAGGCGATCAGCTTGTAAAGGTCAAAGGATTCCTGACTGACCTAAAAGTTTACAACTATGATTGCAGCATGAGCTAAATTCACGATTCTTTTTAGAATCTGAGGCTAAAGATACCCAATCCCGTTAAGGTCTGTGAATCTAAATAATCTGTGCATGAGCATTCTCTCTCAAAGGTATCTAGACAATCGATATGGATGGTACATTCTTTAATATATCGATCAATGATTTTAAAATGGAAAAAATATATGCAGAGATGCCAACCTTCTTCAATAAAAAAAAAGTATTCTTAAGAGCAAAAAACAAAAAACAAAAAACAGTGCCGCTGCACTAATGTCCTTTGGCAAGACATTGATCTACATTTGCCACACTCAACCCAGGTGATGTAAATGGGTACCTGGCGGGAATTTATTCCTTGAAATGCTAGAGTGCCGTAATGGCAGCCGTGCTAAAGTCAAGGTAATAATCGGGAGCGCCAGGAGTGACAAGTCTGACAGACATGAGCGATATACAAGAACCCACTATAATGTTCTATCATTACTGTCATATTGTTAGATGAAAGTACAAGCTTACCAACTGGTTTAGATTACCAAAGAACCAGGCATTCCAGCCGTCTACCTCATGGACTGGTTGCTTATCACCGGTGTACAGCTAAAAGAGATGGATGGAAAATGTGTTCTTTGGATTAAAGGTAATACAAAGTTTTGGGAAATTTTGAAAATTGGGTGGATAGTGAATCTTTACAATTTTGATATATTTGGATGGCCCTCTGGATGTATTATAAGCACTAACAAAATTAACCCCTAAAACACTTCTGTTTTCGAGAGAAATTGAATATGAAAATTTACCGGTGCTCCCGGTAAATTTTGGTAAATTTCAAATAGCGCCTACGGCCGTACAATGGAAGCTGCGACCATGAAAATCTCAGAATATGTAGTTGTGATATAAAATTTCCAAACGGGAATAGCTAATCGGTCGATTTTTGTCAAGAAACATTGTTTCATAGCTAAATTAATATATTGACCTTGAGAGGGAGCTATACAACATGAAGAATGAAGAATTATTTATAATTTCATAACTTTAGACTCGATTTCAACCGGGACAACGATCAATGAATATTGTAGGAACGCATATGCTTCCAATATGTTAATTTGAACCAAATTCATGACCCCTTACCAAAACTTGGTAAGGGTATGAATAATTTAGTTGTTAACAATAAGTACAAATAATCCTAATCATTTCTGATAGAAATAGCCAAATACCCTCCTGGGGACCGTATGGTAGGAATATCCAGGGGGTGGCTATCGTGCACACTGTGTGCGTAAATGAATCCAATGACCGGGGTAATGATCATAATATTTGCAAAGCGCTTAGAGACGTTATTCCATATTATGAGACGATGACGTGGATTCTTATCAAATGATTGGTTGAAAGCGTACATGTGACCAGACATTTATTTTGCCTAATGTGTAATTTGGATAATGACCGGTCATTATCAAAATTATGTTATAAAACATCACCTTACAAAACAAATAAAACATAATCTTATAAAACAAATAATACACATCATTTTGTTCAGGCATTAGTAAAATTACCCACACTCGGTACCTTCCAAAGGTACCTCGTGTGGGTAATTCTTACTAATGACCTCACTGATGTGTATTATTTGCATATTAAGTGGTATATAAATCAAGATTTATGATTATCAATATTATAATCATACTGCTTTCCTATTTTTTTCAAGATCATGTGACTACTTTAAATGCTACTACTGCTTCCACATAAACTGTAACTACTCCTATCACTGGGTTGCATGTAACAATCACAAACCTCTTGTAAGACCGGCAAGATGGGAGGTTTCCTTTGCTGAAGAAAATAGATGGTGAGCAGCGTGTAGGCATAGGATGATAAACTCCCTCTAGATGCATCTCCAATATCACAATACTGTACACACAAAAAAAGGGGGAAAAATATAGAAATTATATTAAAGGCATCGTTTAACAATGTTAAATCTGAGATGCATGCCCCTACGTGCTATCAGTATCTGTGATATAGTGTAATATTGAAACCCTAAAAAAATGGCGCTTCAAAATGATCATGAAGTGCCTCAAAAAAGGAAAAATCTTTGAGTGACTGGTTTTACCATACTGATTCCCCCAATAGACTGTAGTGTTATAAAAACCGTTAGGAAAATGAAAAATTAAATTTTGATTTCCAATCATAAATATCTTGATAATCAGACAGACGATCGGCTTGTAAAAGTCATGGGGTTCCTGACTGACCTAAAGGTTTATAATTATGATTGCAGCATGAGCTAAATCCAGGATTTTGTTTCAGAATCTGAGGCAATGTTACTGAGTCACTTTAAGTTGTTCAAAGATATGCTCATTAACATAAGAATGAAACGTTAATAAGAACGTATACCCTCTAAAGCATTTTGATAATCAGAACATGGAGCAAAGAAGACACTTCGGTCTTACTTACCTTGGCCAGAAGCTTCATGGAGTAGCCCAGCACCCGCACCCTCTCATCGATCTGGGAGTACATGCAGAGGAGTCGAGTGTTGCACTGTGCCAGGGTGTTGTAGAGGCTGATGTCCCCTTCCAGCCTGGTGGGGCGATGGATGAACTTGACAATGGGAACCTTAGCTGTCGGGATGGGCACGATGTTGTACAGGGTGTGGTTCCTCTTCAAGGCGGCGGCCAGTTTCTCAATGACAAAACCGACGTCGATGTCCTACGATTGATGAAGAAATGGACGGATAGTGACTCTAGAGTAATACGTTAAGATACAGCATGCAACAGGACCACCTTCCCTGAGAAATAAATCGTCATGTCCTCTTCAAAGTGACAAAAAGCCTTGAAACATTCCAAACCAAACTTGAAGACTTAACAAATTCTCAGTGTTTACAGCTAATACACCTCTTCATGGTTAAGGCCGCCATTTTAATTTGCGAGTAAGCATTGCGTCATCAATGCTTTCAGATGCGCATGTATTGTTGCATCACTGCCTGCGCTGCGTGCTCACATCATATTGACAGAGGCGCCATTTTGCACTCGCAGTTTAAAATGGGGCCATGCAATGTTGGTGCATGCGTACTCTTGTACCGTGAAAGGGTGTATTTTCCTTGCATATTTTTCAAACCTTTATTCTACTGAAATCATGTACTGTATCAACTGAAACTACTTCTTCCTTGCATATTGATCAATATTTTAATTCTATTCTACCGACTTCATGTTCTGCACCAAATGAAATCATTTCATGAAAAATTTTCTGAAAAGGACTTTGCAGACGTTGCCTTACCTGTCCAGTTTTCATATCTTGGAACGTGAGGCAAATGTCCAGGTCGCTATTCCGAAAGCCAAAGCCATTGCCAGAGGACCCAAAGAGTGAGAGTCGAGCATCCCTGAGGGCATTCTGTCTGATGTAGTATTCCAACTCCGCGATGCAATTATCTCTTGCCCTCATTTCTTGGCGAGAGGGTTGGTTCCTCACTGAAGTGATATATCATTTTTTGGATAAATATTTTACAGAGAAAGTATTAACACACAGCAGTTGAAAGTGCTTGGAAAAGATAAAGCTCATTATCGTGGTTCATTTGTTTGACAATACTTCACTTGTTATATATTAAAACTGTACATGTACGTTATTTCAATAGGCATGACACTTCACAAAAAACAGTGAATAAGGAAGAGAACAAGTATTAAGAAATAGTGGAATAAAGAGCTGATGGGCAAGAGAGCAAGAACAGTTCAGGAGTGTGTTTGAAAAGGAGGAAACTCGTTGTCAGCTTAAAGCCAGAAGGGTACCAACTCGTCTCTTTTAACAAGAGTACAGACCTTTCTGGCTCTTAAAAGACGATATGAGCAACTCAAGATTAAACTTACGCAAGATTTCCTCACAAACTATCGTGACACACTCCAGGAATTTAGGATCCATGGGAGGAAGGGGCTTCAGTGGAGGAAGAGCATCATCGGGACAATCCTGTATGGAAATGACAGGTTTAATGAATGAGAGTTATGGTATTTGTCAATTATGTCACTCATGTTTGCAATGCACCTGCATTCGAGCATACAAAACAGTCAACAAAAGTATATAAACTAGTAATCAGTGAAGAGAAACCTTAATTTGTAAAATTTAGATTAGTTTTATACTTGGCGAATATTTCTCTTCTGACTGAGCAGTTATCTCACAGAAAGAAATGAAAGTGTATCAAGGTTCTTTTTATTATTCATTTGTTAAAATAAGATTCTACACGTCATGTTTGAAAATGGAACACAAAATAACTCAAAAAGGATGGGTAGTGATAACACCTGCAATTCACACAGGCAGCTACATGTATTTATGTGACTCTTGAGAGTCAAACTGCAAACCTGCAACAATATTGACAAAAAAACAAACTTTAAGCCTACCTTGCTAACATGTCCCTCTTTCAAACAACTTGTACAGATGACCTGGACGGCCTCCCCTCTGGTTAAGATCTGCTTGTCAAAGGTGAAGACAAATTCTTCATCATCTACAATGTCTCCTTTGTTTTGCCCGATGTTCGCATTAGACACTTTGTCTCCTGTCACTGCACTGTCTATATTTCCAGACGATTTGTCTAGTTCATTAATGAAAGCACTAGTTACGCTATTATCTGATCTAGCAGCACCTTTGGCACGTTGACGTGAAGGCATAGACGTGTCCGAAGACAAAGAATTTGGGTCGTTTCCATCTGCAGCCGAGTATGATTTCTGACTAGTATCTAACGTTCTTTCATCGTCGGTTCCCGATATTGCTTTAGACTCGGAATTCTGCATATCCTCTTCTGACGTTCGAACCGCTCCGGTTTCCTCTGACTCCACCTCGCTGAGGACCATCTCTGCAAGTTTGGCACCGATGTCAGCTGCTGTGTCGCAGTCGTCTTCGCCAACGTCCAACGTACTTCCTGCAGAAACCCTGTCTTCTCCACTTTGTCCTTCACTTCCAATACCATCTGGACCTACCTCACCCGATTCCTTTGGACTATTGTTTCCTGATCCATCCGGGGATGTCTGTCCCAGAGCCTTGCTGTTCTGAGGAATGCCAAAGTACTTGAGGGCATCATGGAAACGATCCATGATGTATTGGAACACGGAAGCGGTAGTGATAGACTTGGCTACATTCTTTTTACCGTTAGCAAAGGGATCTAGAGACAGATATCAAAAAGAAATACGGCATAGGTCTGTTTATTGAAAAAAAAGTCATACTCATCCATGTTTATGCAAACTTCTTTCATATCTGGTACACAATGTTCTGTAATTTTGTGTCTAATGGATCGGTAACAGTGATATGGGGGGTGTTTCATAAAGCTGTTCGTAAAGTTACGCATGACTTTACGAACGACTTGTATATGAAGTGCCAGATAGGACGCCCAAAGATTTTCCTGATGTTTTAACAAAGTGTGACTATATTTCCAATAACCTCAATCAAATTATGGCAAAGAAATATACTTTGCATTAAAAATGTATGTTATGATAAGAATGTTAATCTACATCTGAACAGTTAAACTTAAGTTGATGCAGTAAATAATGATTTAGCATCCCATTTGGCTTTTCATATTTAAGTCATTCGTAAAGTCCTGCGTAACTTTACAAACAGCTTTATGAAACACCCCCCTGGACAGGAATTCACTTCAATAATTGGATGATTAGTCTCGTTCAAATCACATTTGACCTTGTTTTAAAAATACTTCATTAATTAGATTGCCATGTTTTTGTTATATCTTAATGATCTCACATTGTATGATAATTGTTATAACATTGGAGTTCTTGTAAACTGAATATAATTTAGCTTCATGGCTGCCATGTTCAGTATTTTTAATAAACCATAAACCAAATTACAGCATTGCACTTACAGTAATAGAGCTGACTTCACGCCAACTTACTTACTCATAGCTATTGAATACCAGACCTGCCTCTTGAGGTGACAACATTTGATGCCTGTAAATGCATATTTCTGTTCACAACTATGACATTTGTTTTGGTGGTGGTCCCACTGATTGGCACAAGTGACCTGCCACTGTGGTCTAGAGGATAAGCCACCAGACTGTAGATCAAAAGGCACAGGGTTCAAATCTCAGCCCGCCACTAAAATCCTCCGGCAAGACATTATCTACATTTGCCACTCTCCACCCAGGTGTAAATGGGTTGCTAATATGCTTGAGCACTAGTTAATTTGGCGGCTCGGGGTAAATAATGTCTAAGCACCTTGAGCGTCACTGCATGGCGGATACAAGTGCTATATAAAAAAGCCATTATGTCACCGGACTGTGGATCACAAGGTCCGCTGTTCAAGTCCAACCGCGGCACTAATGTCCTTTGGCAAGACATTGATCTACATTAGCCACTCTCCACCCAGGTGTTAAATGGGTACCCGCTAGGATGCGAAAGCTAATGTGCTTAGATTAGCAAGTGTGGGCTTGTAAAAATGAAGCCTGGCTAGAATGCTCCCCAGGAAGTGGAGAATGTGCATACATTGTATGCGGGTAAGCCTGAATCCGACGACCGAGCAATAATTTGATTGCAGGGCCCTCAGGGAGAACAGTATAAATACTGATAAGGCTACCCTGGGTAAACAAGACATTTTGTTATTATTATTATTATTATTTGCAAAACTGACCTTCTATGGCTATTCTTCTGTTGGGAAGCTTGAGGTCAGCCCTGAAGACCGGCTCTCGCTGACGGATGCTGATTACGATCTCCTCGATGTTGATCTCCACCAGGTAGAACCTCAGCAGGCTGACCCAAAGGTCACCGATACTCTTCTTGTTCGTCGTCTTGAAGGGGTCATTCTTCTGCAGTGAGGGAGAGAGGGAGAGAGGGAGGGAGAGAGGGAGGGGGGAGGGAGGGGGAGGGAGAGAGGGAGGGAGGGAGGGAGGGGGAGGGAGGGGTAGGGAGAGAGAGACAGACAGACAGACAGAGAGAAATTGACATCGTTATCTTTATTTACTGGGTGTAAGCCACAAATGTGTTGAGACAACTGAAATTTCTCCAATGAAGCATTACATTTATAAGAGAAATCAACATGTTTGCATGACCAACTGTAAATGACTAAATGAACAATAGACCAAGTGACTCTTATTCTAAATGGTCATTAGAACAAATAATAAGTAGACCCACTATTATCAGACATGTGGATGGTGGACAGGCTGGATGTAGACCAAATGGGAATAGACCAATTGGGTAGTAGATGAACTGGTTCTAGACCAAACAGCAATAAACCTATGGAAAAGGAGATGTGTAGTGTATTGAAATGTTACATTGTATATGGTACAAATGTTCATGTAATGCAGTATTGGATTGTATCATCTAGTTTTTCTCCCTCATCTTGCTTTCTATTTCTTGGTAGCCTCCCCCTTACTCATTATAACATCCTTTTGTGGAAATTCCACCACCATTATTCACTGGTATGAGATTCTTGGTGCATTACCGCCATATTGTTTGTGACAGAGAAAGTACTCTTGTTTTTTTGGAATGAACAACTCTAGCTTAGACATCACCTAGTCAAGTCGCAGCGCAGCTCTATTCTTCAAGTCTTAGATCCTTCTTGTACCGACATTGATAAATAAAAAGTTGTGTGAAGGAAAAAAATGTAATTACCATCAACCCAAACACCCTAAACTACTGCAGTAGCACTGGTCTCATTCTTGAATATTGCCATGCATTTAAAATTCATTCATGACCTCTTAACAAAATGGCACAAGAAATGTTAAGATTGTTTATAGCAAACAAATATTGAGTAAGAAATAAGAGAGAGAGGGGCAAAAAAAGAGAGACATTGTTTTACAGTGACTTTTATCATAGCCACATACAGTTAATATCCAATCACTAAGGAGATTGAAACCTACAATTAAATCACATCTACATTGAGAACATTTTAAGAATATTACAAAGGGTATATGAAGATAGAATACATCTGAAGGGTGGGGGTAAAATTTCTTTGTAAAAAACCAATGGGTGACACAAGACATTTTTTGTTCGTGGTATGTAAACCTAGAAATAGTTGTGGGTTGGAAAATAATAAGACACTAGACAGAATGGAATGGAACCAACCACATTGGGGAAACATTCAGCAAAACCATGGAATTTTAGACTTCCTACTATTATGAATCATTTCCTGTTGGCCTTTCAAAGAAAGAAAAATCACATGCTTTCCTTTGAACATGAACCGTGTAACATAATACAGCAAAAGCTTTAGAATATATTAAACATGCTACACAATATACAGCAACCACCACAGTGTAATTGTACCTCACAACTTTTCAAATCAATCTATTCTTGTTGAAACAACAAGAATTTTGGAGCAGGGGTGGGGTGGGGGGGGGGGTCGGAATGATGTTAGGGAGGCAATTGTCTTAATGGGTACTAGTCCTTTATTGGGTGGTTGACAAATAAGGTTAACAACAAAAAACTAGATGGAACTTTGACTGCGTGCAGTTGAAATTGATGCCTCTGCCATATAATAGAGCAATTTTACACACCAAAACGAAAGCAATTTTTTAAATTTAAGTTTGATTGTAATCCATCTGTCAGTTTTAATGATAATGCATTAACAATCTATTTATAGGCATACATAATGAGCCCCATGACCTTTGACCTGATGACCCTAAAATCTAATCAGTTCATTGTCTCTGCAAGACACATATACATGTCTTGAGTTTGGTAGTAATCTGTCTATTGGTTCTCATGATAATGCGGTTACAAGCTATTTGTGCATACATAATGAGCCCTGTGACCTTTGACCCCAAAATCTAAACAGTTCTTTGGCTCTGCAAGATACATACATTACCCAAGTTTGGCAGGAATCCATCAATCGGTATTTGAAAATGTAAATGTCCTATAATCAAATACACAAATAAATGTTGAGTTCTGAAAGGCCTACCTGTTGGAGGATGGGAAGGACCTGTGGTTCACACTGCTGCAGAAAGTAGATGACCAACAGAACAAAGGTGTGGGCAGGCATGGCCCCGATGGCCTGCTGGTCGATGCCACACATCCTGGCCCAGTAGCGCAACCCCATGACCAGGGGCCGCAGCCGTCCGTCACACTCGTTGTACTCCACCATCAGCTGCGAGCTCTGCACGGCATGCTGGTTGCCGGTTCCTAATTCACACTTGTAATCACTACGGAGAGGAGAAAAAGGGCATGATATAGTATAAAGTCAAATGTTGGTTGCTTGTGCCAAGTTCACAGATCAAGGGGGCATTTCACAAAACTTGTCATCAGTGACAAATTTTTGTTATAAGCTACTGAAATTCTTGCTTCTGATTGGTTATCAGCAGATTTGTTACTGATTTTTGTCATTGAAAAAAGGCTTCGTGAAACAGGCCCCTGTTTCAAAGGGCTGTTGTAGGGTTGCGAAAGAGCAATGATCTAACATCTGTATAATGCGATCATTAATTAAAAAAAGTAAGGGCTTTGCTACTCTCCTCAACACAAAATTAACTTCACTTCACGCTTTTCTTATTCAGTCAAATATCTGCAACATAGATTAAAATTTCAATCAGTCTGGCGTATATAGCTTATTGAGAATTCAATATCACTTGCAAGTATATATTCCTTCAGCCTATCATCATCATCATCATTCATTTAAGTCAGTATTTTCCTCTTAGGAGTTACTATCTTTCGCACCATGTTCATACTACCTCCCTCTCCTTCTTGTCTTGAGCATCCTCTGCATTTAGACCAACCTTACTGGGTTTTTTCTTAGCTACATCTTTCCATGAAATCTTGGTCTTCTTTCCCTTATTATGCCATCCACTTCCAGATTCCAAGCTCTTTTCACAGGTTCATCATCTTCCCTTCTCAATGTATGACCTTTCCATCTCAATCCACTTTTCTTGACCACTTTCACCATAGTTTCTTCCAGACCTAACCTTTTCATGGGCTCCCTTGTTTTCTTTCTAACAGATAATTTCGAACCACACATCTTCTGTATCATGGCTCTATCTGTTCTCCTCAAGGTACCTTCTTCTACTGTCTTCACATTCTAGGTTTCTGAACCATATAGCATTTCTCTTCCAATACATACTTTATAGATCTTGCCTTTTATTCTCATTGTAAACCTTCTACTTTATACAAGGGTTGAGGCCAGCTCGATGAACTACATCCACCTTAATCTGCACCTTCTTGCTACTGCAATCTCACATCCACCACCACTGTTGTTGTATCGACCCAAAGATGAAAAAACCTATCAACCTTCTCTTCATCTCCTACATACATCCCGTCCTCCAATACTCTATTACTGGGCCCCCCGTCTTACGAAGAGTTATGATTGATCCAAATCAATCGCAAGTCATTCAATCAATCGCAAGATTGCATTCTCCTATCTCTTATGTACATATAGTTGCGATTGATATCAACTCTCTGCATTTCTTGCACTCGAAACTCTCAGCCGTTCTAGCCATTCTCAGCCTGCATCTTGCTCTAGACATCCATCTCCCAAACTGTATTTACACAAAATCACTTTAAAAATCTTACAACTTTGTACTCACGATTCAATGTCCCTGAATCTGACACAAGGATGCTTTCCCTCAAAATCTGCTTCAAATTCAGTGAAGTCTTTATCCACTGCAAACATAAATTGTACAAAAGAAAGATGGGAAGAAATGTTAATTAAAGAGAGATGCAGTGTGGCTGGTTGATAATTGCAAGTAATAATTTCCATTTTCACCATCATCATCTCCACATCGTGTTGATCGTCATCATCATCATCATCACATAATAAACAGGAATAGCACATTTTTCTTATCAGTAACATCATAGCAATGTTATGTTTGGTCACAGATATTATATTTTTGATTAATGAAATCCTGTTCTGTGATTGGTCAACATAGCATCATGTGACCGAACATACCATTGCTATGATGTTACCGATAAAAAAAATGTGCTACCGGTATATAATATGGGTGACAGAAATAATTATTTTTGATTTGATTTATTGGTTTCTGCATCTTTTTTTTCTTTTTTCATCATACATTTTCATGAACATAATATGGTTTGATATAATATTTTAAGTGTATATAATTTTATACAAATAATGAACGAATTTAAACAAATATATTGAATGCATAATTAGCATACATTAGATGCAGGAGGGCTACAGAAATAAGCAAAGTAGCTTGACGTGCCCGCAGCCCTCAACTTAGATACAACAACAATAACAAATACAAATAGAAAAGACTGAAGGCTGGTTTGAAAAATATAGAACAAATATATCATGCACTATTTCAAGCCACTAGTGAAATTATGGATTGCTCGGTGACAGGAAGAGCACTATTTTCTTTGGGGCTATACCCCCTCAGAAAATAGTGTTATTCCTGCCACCTTGATCCATAATTTCAACTAGAGTCTCTCAGTGCATGGTACATTTGTTTACTATCATTACCATCAAATCATCATTTTCACTATCATTGTCATCACCACTATCATCTTTATCGTATTCCTCATCAATATCATCAATAATATCACTATCATACGCATTACTGTATCATGTTCCTCATACCAATTATGATTATTTATATCATTATCATAATATTACCATAGTCACTATGATTATCATTTTTATATAAAACATGTAAACATCATCACTACAATCATCATCATCATCATCATCATCATCATCATCATCATCATCATCATCATCATCATCACCACCACCACCCCCACCACCACCACCACCACCACCACCACCACCACCACCACCACCACCACCACCATCATCATCATCATCATCATCATCAAGAGCATTTTTATCATCCAATTTGTCTCACCCTTGGCTGCGATACCCTGGCTGACTGCAATGAGGATCTTGGAGGCTTGCTTCTCACTAGGAAAATCAACATCCAAGTTGATGTCGCTGTCATGGAAACCGAAGCCACTCAGTGAAGACCCATACACCTTAACTTTGCATTCTGGGGAAGGCAGATGCATAACAAATACAGTAAAGTTTAATATAAATTGACTCTATTTTCAAGTATTAAAGGTACTATGTCCCTTTTGCAGCCAACCTCAAATTCTGTAGAACTTTGCAGGAATTATGAATATGTCATGTATGTCCTATCTGTTAAATTTAAACGTTACCAGTGTCCTCATATTCAAATTATGCAAGGAAACCTGTTTACTTGCTAGACATCACTGTCAGACACTATTGAGTGACTGACTGGCTTTTTTTCTTCTTTGGTAATAACATACATGAAAAGAGTTGTAAAGGGTACATGAGCATTTGTCTATATCAATAACCCACTTCTTGTGATGGCCAAGATTAAACTGATTGAATCTTTGCGCAGCATAAAACGTATGACCATTCGGTACAATTGTCTAAAAATCAAGACTATTACTTTTGGGCTCTATAGCCCTAAAGTCGAATTGACAACTAATAGTCGTTATTTTCCCACTTGAAGACATTTTCAAGCCCCACCTTTTTTATGAAAGTTCTAAATTAGTATTATCTTTCAAATGCAGTTGGAATTTAACTTTTTCATTTTTTTGGCCTGCAAATGGGACATAGTACCTTTAAGGATTAAAGTATTCAACATTCTGATGTGTGTCTGTCAACCGCCATGAATGTAAGGAAGGGTAGAGAGTTGGACAAAATACATTAATAGTAATATAGCAGTCATTAATTTAAAAAAAAACATACATTAGTGATATCACTGCATTATACTTTTATAGATTTTAAAGTCCATGTGTGTATTTGAAATAATTCTTATCTTATTCCACATACTGGTAAATGCATGTACAGGTGTTCATATTTCTTCTCAGTAATCTATCTATCAAGCCATCCTCTTTTAACAATGTGTACATGTAGTCCTACATGTAAGTCCTATAATCTCAGCCTTTTTCCCCATTAATATGACTTAGCTGTTATGTACATGTGTATATTAAGCAAATAGTCTGCAGAGTCATACTGTCTCCATGTACTGTGCATGCATACGTGTGAGCTAGTCATAGAGTGGGAATTCCCCACGCATCAGAATGTACACGTTGGTATGTACTGATGTAGACAGGGAGAGGATATGGCCTGGGCTATAATACATGTACATGCACATACAACATACATGTACTATCCATCCGATAGTAAAGGCTTGTTCAGATATGGCGCGCTTAACTGTGGCAAAACAGCTGCCAAGTTTTTTTCTAACGTGTAAATGAATGGCAACTGTATGCAACTTACAATGTAGGACTTGCATGTAGCCATTGAGCTCTGCATCATAAAAATACAGAAATTTGAAGCGAATTAATTCTTCCGTCCTCATTAAAAATTGCCGCCAATTTTGCAGCGCTATATCTGAACGAGCCTAATCCTGCATGTACCACATACTGCAATTCAACAATCTAATTACAGGTAGCAAAACTATGAGCAAAACACAAAATCCCATGTATCTTTAGAGTTTAGATATTATCCTCTTCTGTTAAACTATTAGCCTACATGTAATATATGAACAGCAGAAAAATAATTTGATTCAATTTAATTCATTAATTTTTCCTCTTTCAATTGTTCATATTTACAATAATGGTACATTTTAACATATATTCACATATTAATATACATATAGATCAATTTGCAAAATACAATACATTTAAAAATACACATGAAATTGAAAGGGAAGGAGGGCCGACTAAAGAGCAGAGCTTGTAGGGTATATGCCCCCCTGTAAATGGTAAACAGTTTGTATTGATAATAGGTAGAAAATGAGTAAAGTGGCATCCAACAAAACACCTTACACCAGAATTGTATGTCCTGTCCCTACCTGGAAATACCAGTTGCTCTTAGAAGGTCATGACCTTTCTATGTGTAAATATCATTTAGTAATGATAACAGGATGTTGGATAAGCTGAGTTCTATGAAGATCACTTTGACAATACAGAGAGGGTCATGAGACTATAATCGGACCAGAATGAGGAAGTTAGAATATTGGACATAAATCAATAGGAATGTATCAAAAATCAAATTTGGTGCATCTGTTTTCAAATGTGTTGAACACGTGCATATTATTTCCTATTGTGACATTAAACAAAATCTGTTGACAACTACTAAAGTTAAATACACACAAAAGGTTTCTTTTTCCTGGTTTCAAAACCTGTTCTTGTTAAATGGTGGTAAATTATTTCTGATGACTACAAAAAAACAAAGCAAGATCTTTGGTTCAAAGTTTAATCAATGCTGTAGTGCCTTTTGATACAACATTCAGGACTTCAGATAACAATGAAATTAATATTCATCGTTCATATAGTGCTCACTGCTCAGTACATCTGTGACATATAGTCTATGCACTTTACAGAAATATCATTCCCAGGGTCATCAGATTCAGGCTTGCCCCACACACAATGTATGCACATTCTCCACTCCCTGGGGATACAAGCCAGGCATGTCTAAGGCCTATTATAACATCAACTTTCTTTTTGCACAGGTGGGTATATCAAATAAACACCATCACTGCTCTATTCTCGCCTAGCAGATGGCTTTGGAGCACATTCTCCACTCCCTGGGGATACAAGCCAGGCATGTCTAAGGCCTATTATAACATCAACTTTCTTTTTGCACAGGTGGGTATATCACAAAAACAACATCACTGCTCTATTCTCACCTGGCAGATGGCTTTGGAGCACATTCTCCACTCCCTGGGGATACAAGCCAGGCATGTCAAAGGCTCATTATATCATCAATTTTTTTTTTGCACAGGTGGGTATATCACAAAAACAACATCACTGCTCTATTCTCACCTGGCAGATGGCTTTGGAGTGCATTCACCACTCCCTGGGGATACAAGCCAGGCATGTCTAAGGCTCATTATAACATCAACTTTCTTTTTGCACAGGTGGGTATATCACAAAAACAACATCACTGCTCTATTCTCACCTGGCAGATGGCTTTGGAGTGCATTCACCACTCCCTGGGGATACAAGCCAGGCATGTCTAAGGCTTATTATAACATCAACTTTCTTTTTGCACAGGTGGGTATATCACACAAACAACATTCCTGCTCTATTCTCACCTGGCAGATGGCTTTGGAGTGCATTCACCACTCCCTGGGGATACAAGCCAGGCATGTCTAAGGCTCATTATAACATCAACTTTCTTTTTGCACAGGTGGGTATATCACACAAACAACATTCCTGCTCTATTCTCACCTGGCAGATGGCTTTGGAGTGCATTCACCACTCCCTGGGGATACAAGCCAGGCATGTCTAAGGCTTATTATAACATCAACTTTCTTTTTGCACAGGTGGGTATATCACACAAACAACATTCCTGCTCTATTCTCACCTGGCAGATGGCTTTGGAGTGCATTCACCACTCCCTGGGGATACAAGCCAGGCATGTCTAAGGCTCATTATAACATCAACTTTCTTTTTGCACAGGTGGGTATATCACACAAACAACATCACTGCTCTATTTTCACCTGGCAGATGGCTTTGGAGTGCATTCACCACTCTCTGGGGATACAAGCCAGGCATGTCTAAGGCTTATCATAACATCAACTTTCTTTTTGCTCAGGTGGGTATATCACACAAACAACATTCCTGCTCTATTCTCACCTGGCAGATGGCTTTGGAGAGCATTCTCTACCCTTTGCCTGACCTCATTTCTCTCATTCATTTCTCTTCCAGTCAAAGCGTGTTCCTCGGTGACATCTTCTAACAGCTTGGTCAGAGCTCTGGCATGGGGTGGTGAAGGCATCGGAAGGTTCTTGAAGAAGTTCTCAGACTCTTTGGCCTTAAAAAGAGGAGGAATTTCTTTATTCGAAAGTTCTCAAACAAATACATTTTCATAACTTGTAACGAAAGTCAAAACTAATGCATTTTTTCTTTTTTAATCTTAAAGAGTGTCTGATCAATCTCCAAATGACAAAATTAAACAATAAGTTAGAGTTACTGCCTGTATAAAAGGAAATGATAGACTCTTATCTCAAATTTGAACAAGTTAAATCTTATTTTTCAGGCTGTATTTCTTTACCGGTACTTCAATTTTCAGGCTTTGCTTATAAACATAGAGCATGTAATTTCTAATACTAAAATAATATGGTGAAATGTTTAAGAAATGGATTTCTTCAACAACAGCAAAATTCTTTTTAATCAAATTGTACATTTACATCAACAGAAATGCTGTAATCGTTTCAGGAAACATTCTCTTCTTTGCGCAAAAAGGGGTATGGCAGTTTTAAGATAAAGAATGCAATATTTTGATGAATGGATACATTTAGAGATACCAAAATCCGTCGTAGTTGGAAGATGTAGAATGCACTATGACTGAGCGTTGAACTTACCTTTGCCAGTCTGTTGTGCCTAGACTGATCGATGTGGAGCCAGCACTGCGGCAGCGTGTCAATGTGATAGTTGCACAGTCTGCAGTAGTACAGGGCACGGGGAAACTTCAAGCTCCTCTGCAAAGACAAACCATGCATGAAATAGTAATAACGTTTTATTTACCAAGGGTAGCCACTTCAGTTATGAAACTGTTCTTCCAGCGGGCCCTGCATAACATAATATGTTATTACTACCCTTCTCCAATCTAATATGCTGAGCGCCTAGCTAGAAGGCAGAAGGTCCCATTGTTATAAGTCTTTGGTATGACTCGGCCGGGATTCGAACTCACGACCTCCCGTTCATGAGGCGGGCGCTCTTATCACTGAGCCACCATGCCTAGGAGAGTCACCATGAATGCAAAATGGACGTTTGACATGAATTTTGTGTAACAGTCATGGTTACTTTGCATAACAATCTACCCCGAAATAGTACACACCATACCTGAAGGAAGTGACTTGCGACAACAATTACAACGTACGTTCAGAACAACGAACAAACAAAGCCTCGATAACAGAAATAACATGAAAAACAGTGGAATGGCCCATATAACGTGATTGCGTATCTACATGTACAGGGTACATGTATATAATTTCTAAGACGTGAACTTACTTTGGCAAGCCTGTAAATGTAGGTCTTTTCAAGCTCTGCCTCCTGTCTCTCCATGGTTTCTTTCCAGGGCTCTGCTAAGTCGCTACCACCCTGCACCTCTTGGTCCACTGCAGGACTAGGAGGCTCCTGCACCTCTTGGATTACCGCAGGGCTAGGAGGCTCCTGGACCTTCCATCCAGGCTGCCTCTCGCGCTCCTTCTCTGGCTGCTGATCTGATTTCTTTGGAGTCGTTGGACCGTTTGCTGCTTTGGCACCCTCCTCGCCTTCTCTGAGTTTGGCATTGACAAGCTTCCCCAGAGGCTTCCGTTCAATGGTCCTCTTCTTGCCGCTCCCTTTCCCAGGCTGGGGCAGTGAGGAACCTCCTGCTTGTTCCTGACCCTGCACTGGTCTACCCTCTCTCTGAAGTATCTGGACATTCTTAGGGTCCTGTTTCTTCTTTCTAGCCTCCTCCCCACTGTCTGTATTGGAATTCCTTGCCATCATACCCCTCTCCATTTTTTTAGCGTAGTTCCGCTCCATCTTCTTTGCCGATGGCTTCTGAACAGAGCGCCCCTGTTTATCACCATTGACGGTAACTTGTAACGTGTCAACTCCTGGTTGGCGATTACCTAGGTTTGGGGTACCGTTTGGAGCATTCGCATTATAGTGCTTTCTCCCTGAATCTCTCTCTTTCTTTGGGTAATTCCTCTTCTGGTTGGGTGACGGATCTGCTGTTTTCTGCTTGTCCATAGGTCTGCTCTGTGCCCCTGACCTTTCCCTGGAAACATCACCTTGCTTTGCAGCCTTGCCCTTAGCCTGTGGGTTGTGGGGATTACCAGATGACGGGTTAAACTGTTTGGTACTCTTGGATGAAACTGCCTCTTTACTAGAAGTCAACCTGGTATGACTACCAGTATCCTTCTTTTCCATGTCACCTCTACAGGCCTGGCCTACCTGAAACAAAAAAAGGTGCATTTAAAAGACCAACAATAGTATCAACCTCAAAACTTCACTATAAAAACAAAATGTTTTTGTTACATGGGTACAGTTGTCAGTACTACTGATGTTACAAGATACATTTTACAATGCCTTCACTGCTGTATTACAATCCCCTTGCTGTTGCAGTGTGGATTTCATATCTACAAATACATGTATGTAAGTAAATATACAGATATTTCAGTTTGTCAAATGACACTCATGGGGGTGGAGGCTGAATATCAACAATCATGCTAAGAAATTTCTAGAAAAAATAAAAACGACGATCATTATGTTACTTTGACAGCATAATATATTCAATACATGCCCTGATATTGGTACTTTAAAAATCCTTCGCAGTAATTGAACATAAGAGTTTCGGATTTTGAACATTATTATGCAGGTATGCAGCTTTCTACTGAATTCTTTCTCCAACTATCATTCATTCGACGGATGTGAACACATGCATGATTTGTGAACATCATTTCAAGGGCACTAGAGGCGTGACGATAAGTCAAGCAAAGACGGACAGTGGTGAGTCTTTGAACTAGTGCTGTAGCCGAACCGCCGAACCGCCGAACCGAACGAAAGTTCGCCGAACATGGCACTTCCGAACCGAACCGAACCGAACCGAACTGAACGCAAAGGCCTGGTACGGATGTTCAGCAGAAAAATGTAAACGTTTTTGCAAGCTAATAAACTTGTCATTTAGTACCTAATTTTCATGTCATGATTGCTCATTTTAAAATTACTTTTTTCCCGTTTTTCACCTTTGTGATTTATGCCTATCCAGTGGTGGGCGCGTCTTCACTGGCGCCATTTAAATCCCAAATCGTGACCATGCTACGTCGCATCGCAAGCCATGAACAAGAATACATGTGCGTGATCAAACAATTAGTTCAGCTCAAACCCATTCAACAAAAATTAATATTTTAATTGTAACAATATCGGACAAATTTTACAATATAAATAATGAAATAAATATATATTATAGTATAGTATTTATTTATTCAGGAAAAATAGGGATTTCATATTTTTCCTATTGAAAATAAAAACTTATAAAAAACAGTTATTGACAAGCCTGAGTCTCTATTGAAGATGGCAGTTTTCATGACTCTAACATTAGACAACAACCGTCTCGGAAAATCTTTAAAAAATATCATTTATTGACAAATTAAAAAACATGATTCTTTTAAAATTGAAAATAGAACACGATTCAAGATGGAAATACGAATGTAAGTAGTATTTTTCTTCATAAATAATAACGTTTAGAGCAGTTTTTTAATGTGAAATTCGTGCTGGTCGGAATCAGTGTGCAGAAGTCCTCCGTGCTGGTCGGGCCCGGCAGGCCGGCTGGCTCGCCCAGTGCCGACCGCCGTGGCTATAACGCTGCTTGCTTTTACATTACCGAACCCCGAACCGAACTAAGTTCGGGTGAAAAATTGCCGAACTCTGCCGAACCGAACCGAACACGAACATAGCGTCTGACTTACAGCACTGCTTTGAACCGTATATCTTCAGATAGTAAGTCGGAGCATTGCGGTGGTTTGGATAATTCCCACAATGCCAATCGAAAGCTATCAGAGAATCATTGATGTAAACTTGCATTTTTAGTCTTCGGACTTGTTGACAAGTAATGAATAAAACCTTATTTGAACTTGAACTTGAACTTGAATGACAGGAGGGTCTTGCAGAAAGCAGAACGCCGCCCTTCCATAAAGACATCAGACAGGACAACGCGTTGTTGCTACATACAATGTACATGTACACACAGCATCACTAGCTGTGCAGTTTGGAAGCAACAACATAGACACATTGTTAAAAAAAAGAGGTTAATTTCAAATCCGTCTGGCCAGATGCAGACCACCTTATGTGTGTCTGCATCAGAAACGGATTCAATTTTTAAACATCTGTCACATCTGGCCACTGAAGAAGAGTGAGGTTTATTTGAGAGGGAAAGGATTAAAAAGGGAGATAAAAATGAGTTAAAAGGGGGGTTGAAAGGGATTTATTTTTTAAATACAAATTAGGAGGAGGGGGGGGGGGAGCAGGCGGGGGGGGGGGCAGGGACTTGAAAAGATATTAAAAAAAGGAAAAATATTAAAATAAAAGATAAATTTAAAGAGAGGGGGCCAAAATACTAAAAAAGGAAAAATACTAAAATAATAAATAAATTTAAAGAAAGAGGGCCAACTCATTAAAACATTTGAGTATACATTTTCATGGAAGCTTTGATGTTTCATTAAATTATTAAGAGGAAAAAGACTTTTTAACTCATTTTCATCTCCCTTTTTGATCCTTTCCTAGCTCTATTAAACCTTGAATCACCCCCTAAATACTTCGGTGAAAGAAACCCCACTACCGTGCTGTCCCGTCTTGAAAATGCATAGGATGGGGCTAGCTTGTTCACGAGTATACAGTATAGTCGTGATACAGGCCCCATGTCCGTGTTGTTGCGCGGGGCCTATATCACGAGTATATAGTAGCGAGTTGAATAGGAGACTCATATAGTATACTTGTGATACAGGCCCCTTGTCAGTGCTGTAGGACATGCAATGCCGTTGTGGGGGCCTTGATCACGAGTATATAGGCCCCCTAGAGCGAGTTGGCTGAAGTTAGAAGCCTAGTACAAAATTATAACCGATTAGTCTACAACAGTTGCGGTGCCTATAAGTTGCGCTTAAGTTAAGTAGGCCCTCTCTCACTTAGATTTGAAGCCAATTGAGCGGATCTGCAATGAGAGCACGTATACTCACTGCACAGCGCTCAATGCGCAAAGTTCTTTGTGGTGGGCCTACCTGGCCCCCCCCCCCCCACTCCGAGAACGGACGGACCCCATGCGTGTTACCAAAATGTCCTTTTCGTAACAAAAGAAAAAGGTCGACCCGTAATCCGTATTGACTTTACACACCGGACTTTTGCTGAAAAGGGAGGGTGCTGAAAAAGGCTTGTATACAAAAGAAAAAGGTCGACCCGTATTGACTTTACACACCGGACTTTTGCTGAAAAGGGGAGGGTCGGTTGGAACACGAATATGCGTACCCTAAATAACACTGAGTGGGCCTAGATCTATCACATTGCAGTTTTACTCTCCCTACATAATATTCAACACATGGGACTACACTTAAGATAGTTGTCATTTGCTTTCTTTGAATTCCAGTCCACCATCAAAATCAAATCTAGCGTAAGTGACACAATGTCTTGTAAATATTGAAACAAAAATAAATAAACTGGCTAACTGAAATGATGGACACAGACATAGTCTATGAATGTCACAGAAAAATTCCTGAGACTGCACTGACAAAATCAAAAATTGATCAATTCAAAAAAAATATCGAGTGACAGAAAAATAATATTAGATTTCAACTTTGATTGTGAATTACACCTAATTTCTCACAAGCAACACACATCTTTAATATTGTAACATAAGATATTTCCCGAAAATTTAAAAATGGTCTTACTTTCTCTCGTTCCTTTCTTTCGTGCTAAACATGGGTTCCTTTTTGTTTGTTTTCAGCATAGGCCTAGACTCGATTTAGTGCTTTTCAATTCTTTCATCACAAGTACCGACGCGCGCGGTCAATTAATAGCGCGCATGCATGAGCTGGATGGCTGGATGCAGTACGTTAACAACGCGCGTCTACACGTACGGAAAGATCAAGCTGAATTATACATTGCTAGTGCGTTCCAAATCAAAAGTAAACAAATTGTTATTGTGAATGAGCTGTAAAAATATATGATTTCTTGTTTTTCATAGAGTTGAAATAATACGCTTTGAAATGATATATTGATGACATATTGTCATTGATCCATAAGCGCTTCATATAGCTGCATGGGCGACGTGGTTTAAAAAAAATCTAGGCCTATGTTGATTATTAAATACAATCACGATATCATTTTGAAAGCATAATTCTTCTATTCTATGAACAGCAATAAATCATTTTGATTGAGCTCATAGTTTTCTCATAATTACCGTTATAGACTTTTTTTTTGGGGGGGGGGGGTCTTCTCCTTTTTCTGGGACACAGGGCAGTTTCATACTTTCATTCCCATGTTATATGTAGAGCGCTGACTAAATTAATTGCTTTGGGGGGGGGCGGCAAAGCGCATTTCTTGCCCCCCCCCCCCCCAAACAACAAAAAAGGGGGGGGGGGAGAAATCAGCTGTAAGGGAGTCAAAAATGGTTTGTATTTGATAATAAAAAAGAAAACAAAAATGATAAAAACTTAATTGAATCAATAAAATTAATATTCCTTTCAAAGAAAAGGAGAGTAATCATGCAGGAATTGAATTTCCTACACATCCGTGTTCTCCTTTATTTATTAATGGAAGATGTTAAAATAGCGATACGCACATACCGTGGAAATATTGTGAGAGGATGGGCAAGCGCGTGTACGTGTGTTTTTTTTATTATAGAGGTGATCGACATGAGCCCCTGCCAGTGACCACTGGCGTACTGGTGTGTGTGTGTGGGGGGGGGGGGGGGGGTGGGTTGTGGGGGGAGTAAAATTACATAAAACATAACATTCAAACGTGGTTTATTTATAATTTGATACCGGTGTTTTACAAATGTTTCTGAAATAACATGATTTTCCGGGATTTTTTCTCAATTTTTGGTGTGTAAAATTATACTTTTTTATGTGTTCGTTGAAAAACTATAAATTCCCAAATTTATATTCAGGCAAAACAAAATGTGCTTATTTACTGAAGCCTTCATGTCAGGGTCTGCAGAATGGCGGACTGGGGGGCTCGAACCCCCCCCCCTCACTTTTTTTAAGGAAGAGAGAAAGAAAGAATAAACTAGTGACCTGCCAAAGTCACAAATGAGGTATCAAAATATGCTCATCTGACCGTAATTAAATGCCTAAAACTCTGCCCCCTGGAAATCCCCCCAAGGGCCCTAAGGAGGCATTGTGTAAACTGATTATCAAGCATACCTTGCACATGTCAACATTTTATGTTGTTTCATTTTATGTTTCGAAATGAAAATATGAAATGAAATAAAATGAAATGACTTTGTTTCTTCATTTCGGTATTTTTCGCCATATTTCATTATCAACGACAGGACACATTTTAATTTTAATTCTATTTGCAAACTGAAGAAAGTTTTTGGAGGGGGGGGGGGAGGTATACAAGTATGGAGAGATATACCACTGATTGTTGCTGCCCATCTAATATACAAATACACTGCCTAATTGAGAGGTTCTGGTTAAAACTATACGCAAGATGTGACTCCAATATTTGCTGAGGGGCGCAGTTCCGAAGCAAACTTTTGGAGTCACAGAGGCCCATAGTTTAACCAGTACCTCGAATAGAAGGCATGGCATATTTAAAAAAAAAAAAAAAAAAAATTAAATTAAATTAAGATTTTAAAAAAAAAATTGATTTAATTTCTTTTTTTAATTCACATTTTTTTTCCAACACCCAAATAGTAAACCAAAATAGTACTCTCGTATAGTACTTTCTAAAAAATAGCTCAAATATTTCTGATCATGTGACGAGCTCTCAACCAATCAAAACCCGACAAATTTTTGATGCAGGATATAATATTTGAGCTATTTTTAGAAAGTACAATATGAGAGTACTATTTTGGTTTACTATTTGGGTGTTGGAAATTAATTAAATCAATTTTTTTTTAAAATCTTAATTTAATAAAAAAACAAAATATTTCATATATACCATGCCTTCTATTCGAGGTACTGGTTAAACTATGGGCCTCTGTGACTCCAAAGTACTATTGGAGTCACCTCTTGCGCATAGTTTTAACCAGAACCTCTCAAGGCAGTGTATATTTGTATACTATGTCCCGTTTTGCAGGCCAAAAATATGAAACGGTTAAATTCCAATGGCATTTGAAAGATAATACTAATTAAGAACTCCTCTTAAAAAAATTGGGCTTGGAAACGTCTTCAAGTGGGAAAATAACGACTATTAGTTGTGGAATCGATTTGGAGCTATAGAGCCAATAAGTAATAGTCTTGATTTTCAAACCATTATACCGCATGGTCATACGTTTTATGCTGCGCAAAGATTCAATCTGTTTAATTTTGACCATTACAAGAAGTGAGTTATTGATGTAAACAAATGCTCATGTACCCTTTACAGCTCATTTTTTGTATGTTATTACCAAAAGAAGAAGAAAAAGCCAGTCAGTCACTCAATACTGACAATAGTGTCTGACAGTGAAGTCTAGCATGTAAACGGGTTTCCTTGCATAATTTGAATATTAGGACACTGTAAACGTTTAAATTTCACAGATAGGAAATACATGACATATTCATAATTCCTGCGAAGTTCTACCGAATTTGAGGTTGGCTGCAAAAGGGACTTTGTATCTTTAATATGAAGAGTTGATATTAAAGGTACTATGTCCCATTTGCAGGCCAAAAAAAATGAAAAAGGTGGGGCTTAAAAATGTCTTCAAGTGGGAAAATAATGACTATTAGTTGTCAAATCGACTTTAGGGCTATATATAGAGCCCAAAAGTAATAGTCTTGATTTTCAAACCATTATACCGCATGGTCATAAGTATTATGCTGCACAAAGATTCAATAAGTTTAATCTTGGCCATCACAAGAAGTGGGTTATTGATGTAGACTAATGCTCACGTACCCTTTACAACTCTTTTCATGTATGTTATTACCAAAGAAGAAAAAAAAAGCCAGTCAGTCACTCAATAGTGTCTGACAGTGAAATCTAGTAAGTAAACGGGTTTCCTTGCATAATTTGAATATTAGGACACTGCTAACGTTTAAATTTCACAGATAGGACATACATGACATATTCATAATTCCTGCAAAGTTCTACAGAATTTGAGGTTGGCTGCAAAAGGGACATAGTACCTTTAAAAGCAACTTATTTGCACTTTGATAATTATCAGTCGCAACTGACAAGAGATATAGCTATATTATGGACTGCAAACGTGCGATTGACTAGAGGACTTGCGATTGATTTAGATCAATAATAAATCGAAATTATGTATTACATGGGTCCGTAGCTGAAGTGGTTGTGTCAGATATCATGTACTACAGGCCCTATCCGGACACCTAGGCCTACCCCGTGGACATCCACCCCCGGATAATCACTCTCAGTCAACTGTACTCCCTATAGTAGGCCTACAACTTCCCCAAGGACAATGCTCCCTAGGGCAACCATGCACCCTCTAAGACGACTACCCCCCAGAACCCCTACACCCCGGACAACTACCCCAGACAACTACCCCCTAGGTCATCTACCCCCTAGGACAACTAACACCGGACAAATACCCCTAGGACAACTACCCCCGGACAACTACTGGGAATAGTTGTCCAGGGGTAGTTGTCAGGGGGTGGTAGTTGTCCTGGAAGGAGGTTGTCCTAGGGGGTAGTTGTCTGAGGAGGTAGTTGTCCAGGGGGTAGTTGTTCCGGGGTAGTCGTCCTAGAGGGTGGCTGCACTAGTCTGTCCAAACAGGGGGAAATAGGTTGTTTTTTTGTTTTTTTAGAGGGTTGAAAATGCGAAATGTTTCTAGCTTCTGGACATCTACCCCCGGATAACCACCCCCATTCAACTACCTCCTAGGATTTTTACGCCACAAATCCCGATTTGTATGATGTTACATGCCATATTGAGATGCATTCTTCGTTATTGAAAGGGCCACCCTGTATAAAGAAGACTTGAATAAATAAATAAATAAATAAATACAGGACTACACGAACATGTGGTATAAAAATCTGTCCCGATTTTTATGATGTTACATGCCATATTTGAAATATTAAGGCATTTGAAGAGCCATGCTTTTCAGGGAACATTTTTTATCTGATGTTGATCATCCACACTTCCATAAGAACAATGATAACACTCACAAATTAGTGTTCACCTCTTCCCAGAACTCAACCTTCTCTTTAAAAGTTTTTTTTTTCTCATTCTCTTTGAATTCCTGAGAAATTCAAAAAGGGGGTTATAAAATATCTAAAAGGGGGTGTTTTCTCTCTTTTTTTTTTCTCTCTCTCTATATATCTCTCTCTCTCTTTGGACTCCTAAGAAATTTTAAAAGGGGGTTTAATACCTTAATGACTATCATCAAGGGGTTACATTGAGCAGGGTGTTCAGTAATTGGGGGTGGGGGGGGGGGGGGGTCAGAAATGTTGGCAGCTCTGAGATTGGGGGGGGGGGGGGGTGTGCTTTCAAAGGAAGAAAACGTGCATACGCCACTGAATGGGGGGGGGGGGGACGGGTCTTCGTGCCTCCTTTTTTTGAATGTTAAACACCCCGAATAGATAGGATGAATGGGGGGGGGGGGGGGGGTAGTGAGCACTATTTTTTTTTGGGGGGGGGGCGCTCGAAAATTTGAAAAAATTGCACCCCCCCCCCTGGGAAAAAAAACGTGTAAAAACACATTTTTTTTTAAATTTACATTTTTTTGGAGATGGCCCCCCCCCCCTGGCGTTAAAGGGGGGGGGGGTGCGATTTTGCAAAATTTTCGAGGGCCCCCAAAATTTTTGGCCTGAGCGATTTTCAAATTTTCGGGAGCAAAAAAAAAAAATTGTGCTCACTAACATTTTTGAGAGTTGATTACTGCGGGCCTGAAACATATGATGAAGAGGAGAGTTGTTGTATTTGATCAGTAAGGCTTCCCCTTCGAAATGATTTGAGAATTTTGCATCAATTCAAAACACTTTTGATTCTTCGTGTGTCTACTTTAAGGGGCCCAGTAGGGAAATTGAATTCAGACAAGATTAAGAGTAGTGAACAGTATAACGAATCGTCTTCTTTTCTAATAATTTAATGAAACGGCAAAGCTTCCGCGCTTCGGGGGGGGGGGCTGAATTCAGACTAGGATTAAGAGTCGAGAACGGTACAACGAATCGTCTTCCTTCTTTAATAATTTAATGAAGTATCAAAGCTTCCGCGCTTTGCGCGGGAGGGGGAAACTGAATTCAGACAAGAACACGATACAACGAATCGTCTTCTTTCTCTGATAATTTAATGAAACGTGAAAGCTTCCGCGCTTTGCGCGAGCTGGACAAAAATGAATCCTGCAAGGATTAAGAGTCGGAACCGCTACAACGAATCGTCTTCTTTCTCTAATAATTTAATAAAACGTCAGAGTTTCCGCGCTTCACGCGAGATGGGCGAAAATTAATTCAGACAAGGATTAAGAGACGGAACCGCTACAATGAATCGTCTTCTTTCTCTAATAATTTAATGAAACGTGAAAGCTGAAGCGCGGGATGGGCGAAAATGAATTCAGACAAGGATTAAGAGAAATGACTTTTTGAAACGTCAAAGCTTCCGCGCTTCGCGCGAGATGGGCGAAAAATAAATTCAGACAAGGATTAAGAGTAATAATTTATTGTAACGTCAAAGCCGCCGCGCTTCGCGCGGGAGGGGGGGGGGGGGGGGAACTGGATCCAAACAAGAATTAAGAGTCGAGGACGGTACAACGGATCGTCTTCTTTCTCTTATAATTTAATGAAGTGTCAAAATTTCCGTGCTTCGCGCGGGATGGGGGAGACTGAAAAATAACTTAGTTCCTGGCCCCGGGTTTATAGGGTTAGATTTGTAGACATTTGAGCATCGGCATTAATATTGGTTGCTCGTTTTGTCGGTAATCGGTGGCCTCTACACCCTCCCCACTCCCCCACTGACAAAGATCTATAGCGACGCCCCTGATAACGACACAGTAATACACTCGAGATTTTTTTTTGCAAGTACTATAATACTGATGAACTACCGGACCACCGTCTTTGTGCATTGTGCGGCATCAAAGCATACGTCTCAAGTGTCACTTTTCTCTAACTTCTAACAAATCAGAAGGCCTCGTTTTTTCTAGGAAGTGCCGGTGCATTATTGCGCCAAACTGTGGTTCTCAAATTGCAAAAGATCCCTACTCTTGGAACAGGGTAGGAAAAAGCTACTTTACGTCATATTACTCCAGTAGGTGCCTGAAAATGCGTCTAATTTGGTTCTAAAATTGCAAATGCTTCTTACCTTGGGAGGGGGCCAGAACCCCCTCCTAGACCCACCCCCGCTTGGTCGCTTCGCTCCCTCGCCGCTAAAGCCTTATATGTCGCTTCATTGTTTTACATAATAACCCCATGCCATATTGTGCCCCCCCCCCTGTAAGAAATTCCTGGATCCGCCACGTACTGATGCCCATGCATATGTTAGAGTGGGGTGCTGCGGATTTTTTTTTGGTCAGCCCCCCCCCCAACGTTTTTGCTCATTACGCCACTGGTCCTGGGGGTATATTGTACGTAAGGCATGCGGGGGGGGGGGGGGTATATGATCTGGGGGTAGTTGACTAGGTGGTGCTTGTCCAGGGGGTGGATATGTCCAGGGGGTGGATGTCCAGGAGGTGGATGTCCAGGGGCCGGGTAGGTGTCCTAGAAGCCATTTGGGGGGGGGGGGGGGGGGGGGGTTCAAGTTCGGTGTTCCGTGTTGGTGGTGTACGTGTTGTGGGCGTAGTCGTGGAAAAGCTGCTGAACCGAGCTCCAACACGTTGCGTTGGAGATTATTGCATGCATCCACATAGACAGCAATAACCATCTGATTTGGGTCATTTCTTTAATAAAACTGACATTTGTTGTCATCTAGTGGAGCCAGACGTAGTCTCAGATCAGTGGAACAACCGACGATTAGAGAGACTGAAGCTTTCGGTCTAGCATCCACACAGCATGCAACTATATGATAATATGGAGTTCATATCATCTCGATATCGGACTTGATTCAGCTGCAAGGTTTATAGATTTCTACCTTTTATATGTATGAGGCCTTTGAGGGTCAAACAACACTTGACAGAGAACAGGACAGCGTGGACATGAGCCTGATCAGGACCTAGATGTGAGAGGAATTTTCTTTATTTCTTTTGGCCGGTGCATGGTGTCGAGATGTTTTTGTAGTGAGATTTATTTCGATGTACCGATGTACGTTCTACTGTGCACTAAATGTATAGACTGCCGACACAAAGCGAGGTCGCATTATCATTGTGACCAAACCCCGGTCGCGTAATTTTTGTCTCGTCTGTTGCAAAAAGCGAGACATACACTGTAGGCGCCGCTTTTCCGGTGACGGCGACGGCGGCGGCGGCGTCCACAATTTTTAGTATAATTTTGAAAGTATAAGTTCTCATTCAATGAAACTTGGACTAAAGGCAAAAAGGGTTATTAAAGGCCCACTGCACTTCTTGTTGTATAGGTACTTGCGCCCTCTCTATATTAAACAATGCCTTATCGGTGACCATTGGTCCCCACTGATCCTCTTTTTCTTATGTTATAACTGAGAGCTGAGTTGATGAGATAACCACCTGTGGCGGGTTCCTAGAAACCGTCATAAGTCTAACTTCTTGACTATCCCATTGAAACCCATGTTAATTCTATAACACACGCTTCAATGGGATAGTCAAGAAGTTAGACTTATGACGGTTTCTAGGAACCCGCCCCTGTCCAATGACCTTGCAGGGCGGTCTAATCCCTCCTGTAAACTAGTATACAATATAGACTGCCTTGAGAGGTTCTGGTTAAAACTATGTGCAAGAGGTGACTCCAATATACTATTTGCTGAGGGGCGCATCTGATTGGTCGAAATTGCATTCATAAACTTTAACTATTCCTGTTAAATTCCAAACCCATGTAATAGTTCTAAAAAATAGTTCTAAAATCCCAGTAACCATGGTTACCGGGAAAATAGTTCAGTCTTGGTGAAATACCCATAGGTTGACATGTTAAAAAATGGTCTGAGCGATCGAGGATACGATACGATGCGATGAATTGGTCGGTAATTTTAAATACAATTGAATCTCGATCGATCTTACCGACAGTTTTATCTTGCATTGTTGCCATGAAGACGAAAATAAACTTCCAAAAACAACATCTGCTGATAGATCTTGATCTAAGTTCGTGCCAATGCATTGCAAAAGTAAAAGAAGGGCCCGTTTAATGGAGCTGCCGGCGAAGCATCCAGCATGCGAAGCCGTTTTCAATCAATTTTAATGTATAAATCAGAGAAAACTGCTAGATATGGTATCAGTGCGCGATGGCCGAGCGGTCTAAGGCGGTGATTTTAGTCATATCATCGTTGGTGCGCAAGAGATCGAATCCCATCTTAGATAAAAGTTTTTTTATTTTTTATTTTTTAGTCTACTCTCAAAGATACACTCATAAAAAACAACCGTGCAGATAAACTAGATAAAGGCCAAGGTGGTGTCATAAGTTGATTCTTTTTTTTTTGGCATATAAAAGTATTAATGACTGCTTTAATATTCGAGAATTTTTTTAAATTTTTATACGCTCTCGGGAAGGTTACAATTGGGCTATTGCCCTTGGCACGCCTCGGGCAATAGCACAATTCTAACCTTCCCTTGAGCGTATAAAAACAACTATTTCGCTCAAAGCAGTCATTAATACTATATTAAGTATTCCCAATCATGTGAGCAGAATGTCAGGTCACAAAATCAAGGTCAAAGGTCATTTCAGTTCAACAGACTCTTTTGTGTCATTGGCTATAATTATCAACATCAAGATTTTGAAATTTTAGCATAATTTCAAAAAAGTTTGTTCAAATTCCATGAAACTTGTACACAAGGGTTATCAAGTATCACAAATCTTATGACGCAAATTCCAGGTCACAAAGTCAAGGTCAAAGGTCATTTTAGGTCAGTACAGTGTATGTGGGGATTAAAAAAAGTATTTAAAAAAAAAAAATCATTTTTTCATATTCCATTACAGTTATTAATCTTGGTACATTTTATTGTAAATAATTCTTCCGATGATTGGTCAATATTCACTTCAAAATGCTGATATTCAGAGGATTTCATTTGGTGGGAGGGGGGGGGGGGCCTGCTAATGGGCCACCCTGCCTATGAATAATGTCCCAACCTCATTTTTTATCATATTGAATTGCATAATGCAGGCGAGACCACCAAGTCAGAGTGTTTCCCTTGTTAAACCTAGCCATTCTAGCGCTGCATATTAATATTTGAATATATTTACGCTGGTACGGTGTGGTGGAGATCACAAAATAAACCGGCCAGATTGTGGACTATCCAGTAGGGGGGGGGTGGGGGGGGGGGGGCCGGGCCCCTCCCCTGGCCAAGAGGTCACATATTTGTGTTCCTCAAAAGCCTCTAACAAAGATGGGGGGGGGGGGCAAAATCTGCAATCTTGCATTCATTTTCTCTGTGCCTCACTGATATTAATTTATAATTAATTAAATATTAATAAAGAGCTCCATACCCCCCATTGCAGTTGAAGGTCATCCAAGGCTGAGTAAAATTAATTCCTGAGAATTTTAATCTCTCATGTTAATTTGGGAAATTGAGTGGGGAAGGTTTTATGCCACTAACCTTTAAAAGATATATTTTCTGATTTCACCAATAAATTTAAATATTAGGGACTTTTTGTATCTCTGGGAGCTAACAGGATATGAGACAAGTGTTGAAAATACATACATGTACAGCGATCCTGTAAAATGGAGTGAGGTTACAGAACTAAGCAGGTTTTACTGTTTAACCTCTAGCTGAACTATTGTGCATCCATGGACAAATATTGGACAAATTCGGGCACTATGTTTTTGTGCTGGAAAATATCAAATTGTCAAATACATAGATTACTGATCCCCCTCCTAAATTTTGTTTTCTTTTTCAATTGGCCTCACTATTGTTATTCCATATATATGCCACTCTTTTCTTAGCTCTCTATTTCCTTCTATCTTTGGCAGGGAACCTGTTTCTGAGATGTCAGCAACCATGGCATCTGGATATAGCAGTGAGGAAACCCTGTCGGTACTGAGATCGTGTGACTTGACAACTGCGATTTCTCGGGGGACGGTGAGTGAAAAGATGCTAGAGAGATGTGCTCAAGAGGGTCGTATTGATGTCCGAAACAAGGAAGGACAAACACCGCTGATGCTCGCATGTTTGACAGGTCTTGAGGATGTTGTCAAGTTCTTGTTGACAAATGGTGCCAACCCCAACTCCAATAGTTTAACGAAGGGTAATACCCCTTTGCATTTTGCATGCATGGTAGAAGACACAGTAAAAGAGGAGTGCTTATCTGGAAGATGCTATAGACCAGAAAAATGGACGACCACCAAGGTATCTATTGTGAAGCTTCTTCTGAAGTATGGAGCATCTGTTCAGAAGAACCTAGATGGATGGACTCCAGCATGTGTAGCTGCATTTTACATGTTCAAGGACATCGTTGACTTCTTGTTGTTGATTGATGATGGTAGTCCTTTGGAGGACAAGATCACAGCTTCTCAAATACTTGGAGTTTCACAAGCTACTCTTGAAATGCCTGCTCTCAAAGATGCATTTCACTCTTTCCGCAGAGCCTTAGAGTTACAAGAAGATGCAGGAGTTATCACAGGCCAAGCTGAAACTTCTGAACTTGCATTGTGTTTCTCGAAGCTCTCTTTGACAGAATTTCACACATTGGAGGAAATCAAGTCAGTTGAATCGTCTGAAAGTGCTTTACAGGCCCATGCATTCTTGGTTGGTGAGAGACTATTTCCCCCAAGTCTCAAGCAGAGATACCTCTACCCATCCCTTACACACTTTGCAAGATTTTTAATATTCCATGAAGGCATGGTAGAAGCAGGCTTTCAAATACTCTCTGTACCCTTGGTTTTGAAAGAAGAGAAGAATTGCAGCTAGGAACTGTTCTAGGTCACATAGCCGATAGCTTTCAAGTCTACTCTGTGCATTATGGCAAAAAAGGACCACAACCTCTTGTTGGTCAACATGCAAGAGATCTGCTGTGTGCCTATGATTCAGTAGTTAATAATGTACATATTGATAGTCTGTTGGGGGTGTGTCATTCGCTTATGGAAAGGTTTGGTGACATACTTTTTGCTGCAGCTTTTTTTGCTTGAGTTTTGATGACTTGAAATCCACCTTGGAAGATGTAGAGAAGTTACTGAGGTTCATTCGAGGTAGGATGTTTAGGGAAAGGCAAGATGAGTATCTCAAGATGCCTTCTGTAGCACACAAAATCATGACTCTTCTGCTGGAACTCTTAGACAGCGGAATAGATAGAAGCCACCTTCTGATGGTAAAGTTTGTGTTCCTCAGGGTTCTACTCTCCGACAATGCCTCTTACCAGGATGAGTCTAGTGGCAACACGCTGCTGCACATGGTAGCGTACTCTACATATTCAGAAAGATATCTTGAATGTATTCAGGATCTTGCCCTGGCCTTTTTACGTCACGGTTGTCCACTAGATTCAGTGAATGAATCGGGCGAAACCGCCAGAGACCTTATGCGATTGCTGCATGGTAGATTTGGGAACCCAAACATCTATCTCATTCAGACATTGGTGAGTCCACCAACCTCAGTATTACGTTTGGAGGAAGCAGCTGCCAGAGTAGTCCTCCGACACAAGATCAACTACCAAGACGTCCTTCCTCCGAGGCTGCGTGAGCTGGTGGATGGTGGAACTGCGGAATTAGAGTTAGAATTATTGAAATTATTAAAAACAAATGAAGACAGTAGTGAAGACAGTGGTGAAGACAATGAGTGATTTATAACTTTGTGTGTTTTGCAAGGATGCACTGAAGGCAAAAAGAGACAGAAACCTAGATTGACTGATGGAATTAGAAAGTTAACAGATCACTCGTCTCAGCTCAACGTATCGCTTTAGACTGAACACTCTTGAGAACCATCATCAACAGGCCTGGTCACGAAAGGTCTTGCAGGGCTCGAATTTGGCGGTGGCCCGGGGCCAATGGCCACCTGAAATGGCGTCGGGCCACCTGAAATCACCGACTAGGTGGCCCGGGTGGCCACCAAAAAAATTAAATTAAATTAAAAAAATAAAATAATTTTTTTTTTTTTTTTAATTTTTAATTTTTTTTTTAAATTTATCGATGTACTTGGGCCCCGAGGGTTCTAGACGACCTTTTAAACGCATATAACAATGTCTAGAACCCTCTCAAAAAATCTTGTCCCTAATCAAACTCGGCTGATTTTTTTTTTTTTTTTTTAACCACAAATTTGCCGATTTTTAAATATCCGGGCCACCTGAAATTCCATTTGGCCACCCAGATCTCCTGCTCAAGTGGCCCTGCTGGCCACCTCGACAAAAAGTTAAGGGCAAGCCCTGTCTTGTAATATGGATTTCATGTCACGAGAAATTAGATGAGTAATTTTTACAGATTTTGTTAGTTACTCTCAGATCAAGTTCTGCATTTTGAACCATTTGTGCCACTATGCAAACTCCTTTACATTTTGATACTTTATGTTTTAATGTGCCTTCTATTACAAATTGGTTTCTTTTTACTTTACTACCTGATAAGCCAATGCTACAACTTGTTCAGTCATTGACTCAGGGTTCAATGAAAATGCTGTGTAACAATTGTTGTAATTACACCATAAAATTGATGTACAGTCCTGTGTACATGTAGGTGCGGTTCTAAAAGAATGTACCCCGGTATTTGACCTTTTTGGGGGGGGAGGGGTGTCCTTCTTGGCTTTGAGGCACGTACAGATTCAGGATTTTGTAAAAGAGGGCACAAAGAGGTAACATAAAAATTATTTGTGTTCCTTTTTACCACAAAATCTGCCATATTGCATTCATTTTCTATGTGTGCCTCACTGAAATTAATTTTGAATCAATTAAAAACTGGAAGGAGTCCCTCCACCCTCCTAATCACTACATGACCTGTGAAGAGAGCACTTATCCCAACAAAAAGGAGGGGCAAAAGTAAAGGATAAACAAAGACTTAGAAGGGAAAACTATTTTATTTGTCACAATTTGAACACTTCAATTTCGTCGTCAGACTGGCGAATGTATTTTTCACTTTGTCAAACCTGAACTTGACAGCCTCATGAATGCAGTGTTTTTCTTGCTTTGATTGAAACTGGTTGAATCTGTGTATTTTTACATATTTTGTTATATTCTTGTTTTGGAATGTTGCATTCAATTCATTAATGTTCACCTTTCACTCTCATATTGTGATAACTATTGCTCATTGTGCCTTTGATATTTCAAAAGATCATCATATTATAGTGAAATTTGTAAAATCATATACAATTTGCATATATGCTTTCTTGTCCATGTTCTTATTTAGACTGGGAATGTCCATGATATTAACTTGTAGACCTTTTGAATGATTAGTTACAACATGAGCTATTATTAATTTTAGTGAGACATACATGTAGATGTATTGCAAAAAGCTATCGGGTGAGAGGAGCAGAGAGTGAAAGTCTGAACAATGGAGAGCAGGCGCGCCGGAAGCAGTTTGGGATTGGGGGGGGGGGGGGGGCAAACATTCCAGGGGGCTCACCTTCCAGGGGCAGTGACGTAATGAGATAAAAACGTTCGGTGGGGGGGGGGGGTGGCAGACGAAAAATCTGCATCACCACCACTTCCACCAGTCTTACACGTTACATGCAGGTCCGGCGGAACATTTTTCAAAGTGGAGTATTAACGATCAGGTATAGCGTAAATTGGCGTGGGGTCCAGGGCATGAGCCTCGGCAGGGGGTCAAGGGGCTGAGCCCCCGGAAGCTCAGGGGTTTTAGGTATTTAATTACGGTTAGGAACTTAGATGAGCATCCAGGTGCCCTCTTTAAGGCCATTGACGTGTTCCAGGGGGGGGGGGGGAGAGCCCCCAAAAAGCTCAGAGGTTTTTATATTTAACTACGGTCAGATGAGCATCCAGGGGCCCGCCTTGGAGCCCTTGGTGGGGTCCAGGGGCAGAGCCCGTGGAAGCTCAGGGTTTTAGGTATTTAATTACGGTCAGATGATCGAGCATCCAGGGGACCGCCTTAGGGCCCTTGGTGAGGTCCGGGGGCGGAGCCCCCGTAAGCTCTGGGGTTTTAGCAATTAATTACGGTCAGATGAGCATCCAGGGGACCGTCATTTACCACAAGAAGAGGACAAGAAGAACTGCTCCATGCCATGCAAGAGAAACGGATATGACTAAGGGAGGTCATTTTTGCATGCAATTTATTTAAAATTAGAAACACGCCATTTTAATCGAGACAGGCAGAAGAAACCCTTACCCTTCCCCTTATTTATTTAAAGCTGAAGGGCACTACCATAACGGGGCCACCCAAGACGAAAATCCAATTGAATCCCCATTGAATCAGCCCCCATATTGAATACCAATTGGCCATTTGGAGTAGGCCTACATGGAAAGTGAAACAATGGGTACCTATTGAAACCAATTGGCAATTGGTCCCCATTGAAACCAACTGGCAATGGTTTCAATGGGGACCAATAGGTACCCATTGTTTCACTTTCCATGTACTCCAAAATTGCCAATTGGTATTCAATTGGGATTCAATGGTGGCATTCAATGGGGATTCAATTGGTAAATCGATCCAGGTAGAAGAACAAATGATAAACTGATACTTCATAATCGATATTGTCCACCAACTAGTATAGACATTGGTGATGTGGTAATTTTTAATAATAAACTTATTCGATATAAAGGAAGTTGTATATACGATAAGAGGTTGTATGACAAAGGAATTTACAAATTAAAACATATTCTGGAAAACGATGGTAAACTAAAATGTGACGGGCATTTTATCGATTTAGGTGTTGAAGTAAATGAAATTGAAAAGATCAAGCACTTTTATGCCTGTTTACCAGTTTGTTGGAAAAATAATTTTAGAAAGGGAGAAGAAAAAAACAATTCTGGAACTGATTTCACTGTGGGGAAGAAAACAACTAATATAGCTGATCTAAAATCAAAACAAATTTATGTACAATTAATAAAGAAAGATGATTTTAAACCTTTGGTTTTTGAGAGAATTGGAAGGAACTATGGTTTTTCCTGTAAGGAAATAGAAAACATATTTTTAAGACTAAGACAGTGTACACTTAACAGTCGATTAAGAGAGTTTCAGTTCAAACTTATACATAATATATTATATACAAACCATCACCTCTTCCGTTTTGGTCTTGTCTCGACTAAGTTATGCTCATTTTGCGAAAAAGATGAAGAAACATATAAACATTTATTCTATACTTGTGAATTTGCACAATCAGTGTGGGGAATGTGCACGAGATTTTTAGACTTTGAAATACACAACTGTAGTTTGGAGGAAATTCTGTATGGGTAAGAGGAGAGTAATAAAGGAAAATATCAATTAATGAATCATGTTTTAATTCTTGTTAAATATCTGATTTATAGAAATAGAGAACTTAAAAAACCACCCTCTTTTAATGAAATAAAGAATAGTATAATAGGGGATAAAGTAGAAGAAAGGAAATTGGCTGCAATGAGGGGAACTCTCACTATTCATTTTTCTAAATGGGAAAACCTGAGTATAAGACAAACAATTGGAACCCAGAGCCAGTCGTCCACCGGTTAAGAGGGGGGGGGGGGGGGGGAGGGGGATAAGGGAGAGGTCGGGTAGGGTAGAGTTAACAAAAAGAGAAAACTTTTTTCTCAGGACAACAGTATAAAAGAAGTATAAGTTGCTACATTGTTAAAACAAAAATTTTGGATTATATAACTGCATATGTTTTCTTTGAAAATATGGATTTTTGTGTCGAATATGATGTATAGGAACTATCTATGTAAGTTTTCTTTGAAGCCGTTTGTAAGACAAAAATTTATACTGATTTATAATGTCATCACATTTGCAGTGAGTGTTACATATGATGATTGTAATTTGTACTAAGATTATAATTTGTTTCAAGAGAGAAAAGAATAAAACTGACCATAAAAAAAAAAAAAACTAGATATATTCTAATCTCAATTGCATTAACTCCATGATCACATAGATAATTTGAAGTGAATTTAAGATTAACTTTAGATAACTTTAAATAATTGCCGAAGGAAAATAGAAATCACAAAATTGATGTGCATTGTCATAATTTGCTTAACAAACACGTGACACGTGTAAAGTAATAATGAATAGGCATGAGATACATAGATCTGTTGGTTTCTATTGGTTTCTATGGGTCCTATTGGTTTCTATTGGTTTCAATTGGCCCCATTAGACTTTAATGGAATTTCAATTGAAACCAATTGAGATCCCATGGGGCCAATAGGGCCAATCTGGACCTGAAACCATCTGAAGTCGCTGAAGTCCTATTAAAGTCCCATTGAAACCTATTGAGACCAATTAAAACCAATTGGAACCAGATGAAACCAATTGAAAATTCAATGGGTGTTCAATTGGTTTCAATTGGATTTTCGTCTTGGTGCACGCATACTGTCAGGGGCTGAGCCGGTGGGGGGGGGGGGGGGGGGGACCCGGGCCCCTCCCCTGGCCAAAAAGAAGAAGTAATTTTGCTGCTCGCGGGGGGGGGGGGGGGGGGTGGATCGGGTGTTGAGTAAAAAGTAAAATGAAATAGAGCTCGGTCCATATCCCCCCCCCCCCCCCCCCCCGCCGCTAAATATTTTCTCACGAGAAAAAGAAAAAAAAAGTGCTCATGCACTACCCACTACCCCCCGGCCCGCCTAATTCTCCTTCCCAAAAGTACCAATATAATATCCTACTACACAGTGCCGAATACGGGACTATCGATTGATTTCCTAATCGAAATGTAATTCTCGTTGCTTCAATTTGCACTCTGTAAATTTAATAAGCCTTTGAATTTTGCCGCCTTTTCGTGAATGTATATATGCACCCCTGAATAGCCTATTGCAAAAAGCTATCGGGTGAGAGGAGCGCAGAGATCGAGTCAAAGTGTGAACAATGGAGAGAGATCGAGAAAGGGAGGGGTGGCAAACTTCACAATGCAAATGTAATTATTTAACGAAAGAAAGCAAGAAGAGAATGAAGCTAGATCTAGCTATGTTTGTGAGGAATGTGAGGAAATGTACTATATTAAACCCTTCCCATGCATGGCCATGCAAGAGAAATGGATATGATTGAGGGAGGCCATTGTGCATGCAATTTATTTGAAATTTGTTTAGATCGCCAATAATCGAGACAAAAGAAAAACCCTAAACCGTCCCCTCTTAGATGAAGGGCACATATAACCAGGCACGTAGCCATGGGGGGGGGGGGGGGGGCAATATAGGCCAAAACGTACATGTTGGAGATTACATACATCGCATCCGCACTGGAGCTAGACTGCATGTGATGACTTTATGTTTATCATCTCGATTCTATACATAGGGCTCTGCCATGAATATGTGTATGAGGGTAAAATAACACCGATTAACAGATGCAGAGAACATGCAGGACAGCTTCGTGCAGGACCTAGATGTGAGAGGACAATTTTGTTTATTTCTGTTGCCGATGTCACTGTTTTTTATGACAGATTTATTTAGAATTTCACACGTACCGATATTCGTTTTATTGTTCACTAGATTCATAGACTGCCGACGTCAAGCGAGGTCGCATTATCATTGCGACCAAACCCAGGCCCCAGTCGGTTATTTTATCGCTGTTCATTTGCAATATTTGCCGAATAGCACTAGTCGAACCATCATAGATATTTGTCCTTTCTGTATTGTCTGACGTAATAATTCTTAGAAGATTTATGAAATATTGCTTGTGAAAGTTCTTCAAAAGTGTTGTTCTTGTTGCTCAATAGGGGGGGGGGGGGGGGTGGATGTTGCGGGAAAAAAAAAACCCACCCCCCACCCAACGAACTCAAACCAAGTAGAAGGATTGTGTCCGTTCACGTTTCACGCAGCGCAATGGCACCGCTCGAGTGCGCCCGCCGCCATTTTGCGTAGTACAAGAAATCGCCTGCGCATACGTATTGTGTACAAGCTCCTATTGCAATTGGAGGAAGGGACGTCCAGAAACCAGGGTTTTATTGTTAGTTTTGGTGAAAAATATCTTTACATATATTGTTTATGCCCTTTTCCAAGTCCCATACAGATGTTTGATGACTTGAATATTGGAATAAGAGTGGCAGCTTGGACAGTAGGGGAGTTGAAATTTTAGGGTTTTTTTGCATAAAGACTAAAAGAGCTAGACTATTTGTTAAATATCATTTGTGGTATTAGGCTAGTTTTGTCTCTTTCTGTGATAGAAAGAATATATCAAATTATTTAGGCTCTATCTATATAAATCACTCCCACTTTCTCTTTACACACACTCGTAAATTCTCAGTCTTTGTGTTTCTCTTCCCACTCCCCCTCTCTCTATCCCCTTCTCTCCCTCCCTCTCTTTTTCTTTCACACTCCCCCTCTCCCCTTCTTTCTCTCTACCCCTTTCTCTACTCCCTCTCTCTTTCTCTCTATCCCCTTCTCTCTCTCCCTCTCTTTTTCTTTCACTCTCCCTTTCTTTCTCTCTTTCTCTCTATCCCCTTCTCTTTTTCTCTCCCCCTTTTTCTTTCACTCTCCCCCTCTTTCTTTTTGTCTCTCTCCCCTCTCTCTTTCTCTATCCCTTTGATTCTAGGCACTGCAGAAGTAGGCCCACTGAATATTAATATTATTTCTTTTCTTTCCCTTGGGAGGCTACCATTTAGCTGCCAGATATTATTTTCATCCCATATAGGCATATTAAAAATTTGTCTAAGAAGTGTTAAGTAATGACACATTGTGGCAACTATTCACATGTCTTTCCACATAATTGTGAATACTTTCATCTTTATTAAGTTTTTTTTTAACCTTGGCATTGCGCTATGTATTACATGAATGTATACAGTACATATTAAAACATCCATGAACTATTGTAATGGTGGATATGAAGAAAAAAATCCTCAATGGTGTGGAAAAAACGTTCCTCAAGCAAGCAATCATGGCACATTATGTTTATACCGGCACATTTCTTATTCATTTTAACACACAGAGAAATAATCACATGTACATTTGACTGACTACAATGTACAAAAGGCAAGATTTTCTCCCTTTTAGCACTCAAAACTTGAACACACTTCATTAAAAAACTAAACATCAACAAGATATAATACATATGAATAAGTATTTCCCTCTCTTTGGTTTGTTCATGAAGCAATGTATGGATTCATCTGATTTCAGTGAAAACTTTTAAAACAGATTTTTACTCTAGATGAAAGTTGCAACTTTCATTTAGCTCAAGCTCTTTCAGTTGGTAAACATGGATACAACCATTGCAACTACAGTTTGAATTCAATAGTGTAGAATAGATGACACTGCACATTGAACAATAAAATCATTGGACAATATTTTATAACAAAACAGGGATCGTTTGCATACACCGTAAACCTCTGTATACAGATTTTCATACAACATAATGAGTGACTTCCTTATCTAATTTGACGAAACAATTTGTTTGTACACACATCTAGTGGCACTATGCCATCACCGAATACATTATCCATTATCAAGAAACATACGCACAATAATTTGTAAATAGCTTTGGGAACCATAAGTGATCAGAGTCAAGTTAAAAATACAAAATTTAAAGAAAATCCCTTTCCCTGAAACACGTTGACAATAATCCAGTTGTTTTTTTATTTCTTTGATGCCTCTTTCGCAAATTCTAATCTCAAATCTAATTTATGCAATCAGATTCAAACTATACTTAAACCTGTCAGACAGAAGACAGGCTAGTGTCAATAATAGAATCACACAATTCCTTTCTCTCTGGGTAAGCCTAGATGTATAAAACACAAAATAGACCAATAGGGCAAACATCGTAATAAATATCGTATACTATATTATCCCTGTAGTGCACATTCTGTCATTTCAGTGGGAAGGAGTAGATGAAATAGTCTGTTTGAATTAGTATATTTATTTCATCAATGGTGAAATATTATGTAAAAAAATACACATAAATAAGATTGACCAATTTTTTTACCCTTTTACAGCAGAAATCCCCAAATATGTATATGTCTTTATGCATGTACCAGAATAATGGGAGCTTCGCAAAATATTGCCTGGTGTTTTTTTTTTGTCTTGATTTGTATTTCAAGTGCTGTGCTTTACTAGGCCATATGAAATCACTACATAATCTACACATATTCATCTGAGGAGTAAGTTTTAGAGGACGTAGGAAGGTTCATGCAGGTAGCTTCTTTAACTGCCATGACTGAGAGGTCGTATAACTTTCACAATGACCAACTTTGAGTAAAATTTCTTGTGTTTTACAACAATTTAAATGTCCAAAATTAAGGTGTAAATTTTGAGTAAATTCCAGTAAATTTCTTACAATAATGCTTGAAAGTCTGACGACTCACGGGAAATTGTGTCACTATTAATACCAGCGCCGCGATGCAACATGTTCATAAGTTCAAGTTAATCTTCAAAGTAACTTGAACCAAGTTTCACCAAGTCAAACAAAGAAAGTGACCTGCTCAGTTATGCCCCAATGATTCCCCCCCCCCCCCAAAAAAAAAAACAGAACAAAACAAAACAGTACAGTATTCTCTGGATATCATGTATTCGATATTATCGGTTTATAATACTTTGCAGCTCTGTGGAATTCAATATTTTTGATAGTTCATAGCCGATGTCATTAAACTCGAGCGAAAACAGTTCACAAACATGGAAATGAATAGATGGGACCGATGTTAATACACGCTTTAGTCTGTGGCTTTCTGCGTTAGGATTATCATGCAAAACTGTTTTTTAATGAAGTGATCACCTAACTATGAAAGATTATTCCAGAGCCTCTTTTAAGGCGATTGGTGCAGTTGAAAGCTGCACAATATGGCATTTTGCAGACGAAAGTTGAGCATACACATAGCACGTAGTCGCAGTTCGCTTTCACAGCGCTCGTTCTATCCAAGATGGCGCACGGCGGTGCAATTCAGCGGTCTCGGAAAATCCTTCTACTTACTTGGATTTCGATGCCCCCACCCCATTGAGCTAAACAAAAATTAGAAGATTTATGAAATATCGCTTGTAAACGGACTTCTTCAAATTCATAATGGTTTAATGCCCCACTGCCCTCTATATCAAGCAATGCCTAATCAGTGACTGCAATTGGTCCCTGTGAATCCTTTTTCTTATGTTAATGCATGCAGAGCTGAATTGATGAGATAACCACCTGTTAGTGACCTTGCAGGGAGGTGTATAATAACCCCCCCCCCCCCGGACAAACTAGTGCAGACAGGCTTTAAAAACTTTAATGCAGGACTGCACTACTTGTAGTTGTAGACTACTTGTTGCGCCTCCATTGGCGGTATCGAGGGGGGGGGAGTTTTGGGTGTTCAATACCCCCCCCCCCCCCCACCCTCTTGGCAAACAGGGGGGTGTTTTACAATTTTAAAGGCTGCCGTTTATCTACATTTATCAATACCCCGTTGAAGGACATCGTGCAAGGCCAAGGCTGAGTAAAATTAATTTCTAAGAGTTTCATTTCTCATGTTGATTTTTGGAAATTGAAGGGGGGAAGGTTTCATGCCATTTGTCATTTATAAGATATTTTCTGATTTCACCAATAAATTTAGATATTTGGGACATTTTGTATCCCTGGGAGGTTTGAACAGGATATGAGACAAATGTTGAAAATGGGAATGACGCTATTCATAAGGACGGCTATTCATATTAGGTCCGCTAAATTCATAAGGTCCGTTATTCATAAGGACCGCTATTCATAAGGACCGCTTTTCATAATTTGAGAAAAGGGTCATTATTCATAAGGTTCATAAGGACCGCTATTCATAATCAGGGAAAAGGGCCGGTATTCATAATAAGAGATGAGGGTCGCTATTCATAATGCAAAATCGGGGTAGTTATTCATAAGGGTCGCTATTCATAATAAGAAAAGAGGGTCGCTATTTATAATACGAAATGAGGGTCGCTATTCATAATGCGAAATGAGGGTCTCTATTCATAAGGTTCATTATTCATAAGGGTCGCTATTCATATAGGAGAAGAGGGTCGCTATTCATAATACGAGAAGAGGTTCGCTATTCATAATGCGAAATGAGGGTCGCTATTCATAATAGGAGTATAGGTTCGCTATTCATAATACGATATGAGGGTCGCTATTCATAATATGAAATGAGGGTCGCTATTCATAATATGAGTAGAGGGTCGCTATTCATAATTTGAAATGAGGGTCGCTATTCGTAATATGAGTAGAGGGTCGCTATTCATAATATGAAATGAGGGTCGCTATTCATACTAAGGCAAGAGGGTCGCTATTCATAATACGAAATGAGGGTCGCTATTCATAATGCGAAATGAGGGTCTCTATTCATAATAGGAGTAGAGGGTCGATATTCATAATGCAAAATGAGGGTCGCTATTCATAATAGGAGTATAGGTTCGTTATTCATAATACGATATGAGGGTCGCTATTCATAATATGAAATGAGGGTCGCTATTCATAATCGGAGTAGAGGGTCGCTATTCATAATAGGAGTAGAGGATCGCTATTCATAATATGAAATGAGGGTCGCTATTATGAATAGTGACCCTCTACTCCTATTATGAACAGCGACCCTCTATTTCTATTATGAATAGCGACCCTCATTTTGTATTATGTATAGCGAACCTCTACTCCTATTATGAATAGCGAATCTCTACTCCTATTATGAATAGCGACCCTCATTTCCTATTATGAATAGCGACCCTCTATTCCTATTATGAATAGCGACCCTCATTTCCTATTATGAATAGCGACCCTCTACTCTTATTATGAATAGCGAACCTCATTTTGTGTTATGAATAGTGACCTTATTATGAATAACGACCCTCTATTCCTATTATGAATAGCGACCCTCATTTTGTATTATGAATAGCGACCCTCTTCTCGTTTTATGAATAGCGACCCTCATTTCGCATTATGAATAGCGACCCTCTATTATTGGGCTCACTATTATTATTTTATATACATGTACATGTATATGCCACTCTTTACTTAACTCCCTATTTATTTCTATCTTTGGCAGGGAACCTGTTATGATGTAGCTGGTGAACCATGTAGTATCTGAGATGTCTGAGTCAGCAACAATGGAATCTGGATGTAGGTACTTGTCGTTCCTGAGATCGTGTGACTTGGCAACTGCGATTTCGCGGAGGATGGTGACTGAAGAGATGCTAGAGCGATGTGCTCAAGAGGGTCGTATTGATGTCCGAAACAAGGAAGGACAAACACCTCTGATGCTCGCATGTTTGACAGGTCTTGAGGATGTTGTCAAGTTCTTGTTAGCAAATGGTGCCAACCCCAACTCCAATAGTTTAATGATGGGTAATACCCCTTTGCATTTTGCATGCATGGTAGAAGACATAGTAGAAGAGGAGTACTTATCTAGAACATTCTATAAACCAAAAAAATGGACGACCACCAAGGTATCTATTGTGAAGCTTCTTCTGAAGTATGGAGCATCTGTTCAGAAGAACCTAGATGGATGGAATCCAGCATGTGTAGCTGCATTTTACAATTTTAAGGACATTGTTGACTTCTTCTTATTGATTGATGATGGTAGTCCTTTGGAGGACAAGATCACAGCTTCTCAAATACTTGGAGTGTCACAAGCTACTCTTGACGAACCGGCTCTCAAAGATGCATTTCACTCTTTCTGCAGAGCCTTAGACTTACAAGAAGATGCAGGAGTTATCACAGGCCAAGCTGAAACTTCTGAACTTGTACTGTGTTTCTCGAAGCTCTCTTTGACAGAATTTCACACATTGGAGGAAATCAAGGCGGTTGAATTGTCTGAAAGTGCTTTAAAGGCCCATGCATTCTTAGTTGGTGAGAGATTATTTCCCCCAAGTCTCAAGCAGAGATACCTCTACCCTTCCCTTACACACTTTGCAAGTCTTTTAATGTACCATGAAGACATGGTAGAAGCAGGCTTTCAAATATTCTCCTGTACCCTTGGTTTTGAAAGAAGTGGAGAATTGCAGCTAGGAACAGTACTAGGTCACATAGCTAGTAATTATGAATTCTTCTGTGTGCATGATGGCAAAAAAGAGGTTCGACAACGTGCAAGAGATTTGCTGTGTGCCTATGGTTCAGTAGTTAATAATGTACCTATTGATAGTCTGTTGGGGCGGGTGTGTCGTTCACTTATGGGAAGCTTTGGTGACATACTTTTTTCTGAAGCATTTTCTTGCTTTAGTTTTGATGACTTGAAATCCACCTTGGAAGATGTAGAGAAGTTACTGAAATTCATTCGAGGTAGGACGTTTAGGGAAAGGCAAGATGAGTATCCCAGGATGCCTTCTGTAGCACTCAAAATCATGACTCTTCTGCAGGACAAGTTTGAAGAAACCGTAGAGTGCGTAGACACCGTAATCGATAGAAGGTACCTTTTGAAGGTAAAGTTTGTGTTTCTCCGGGTTCTACTCTGCGACAAAGCTTCTTACCAGGATGTGAACAATCGCAACACTCTGCTGCACATGGTAGCGTACTCTACATATGCAGAAAGATATCTTGAATGTATTCAGGATCTTGCTCTGGCCTTTTTACGTCACGGGTGTCCACTAGATGCAGTGAATAGAGTAGGAGATACCGCCAGAGACCTTATGCGATTGCTGCATGGTAGATTTGGGAATCCAAACATCTATCTCATTCAGACATTGGTGAATCCACCAACCTCAGTATTACGTCTGGAGGAAGCAGCTGCCAGAGTAGTCCTGCGACACAAGATCAACTACCAAGACGTCCTTCCTCTGAGGCTGCGTGAGCTGGTGGATGGTGGAACTGCGGAATTAGAGTTAGAATTATTAAAATTATTAAAAACAAATGAAGACAGTAGTGAAGACAGTGGTGAAGACAATGAGTGATTTATAATTTTTATGCCTTTAAAGGAAGGAGCTGGAGGCATTATGTTTTAGGGTTGTACGTCCCGTTCTCGTGATCGCGTTATCTCAAAAACCGATAGTTGAATTCCTGCCAAACTTAAACCATGTATGTATCTGGCAAAGCCAATGAACTGATTAGATTTTGGGGTCAGGGGGTCAAAGGTCGCAGGGCTCATTATGTATGCAAAAATAGCTCGTGATCACGTTATCTCAAGAACCGATGGATGGATTTCTGCCAAACTTTAGTCATGTATGTATCTTGCAGAGCCAATGATCTGATTAGATATTGGGGTCAAAGGTCAAAGGTCACAGGGCTCATTATATATGCAAAAATAGCTTATGATCACATCATTAAACCGATGAACAGATCACCATTAAAACATGTATTTATCTTGTAAAGCAAATGAATTGAGTAGATTGTGGGGTCATGAGGTCAAAGGTCATGGGGCTCATTATGTATGCAAAAATAGCTTGTGAATGCCTTCTTATTACAACTGACGGATGGATTACTATCAAACTCGAGACATGTATGTATCTTGCAGAGCCATTGACCTGATCAGATTTTAGGTGTCATAAGATCAAAGACCAAAGGGTCATACAGGGTACATGTATATAAAAAATAACTTGTAATCGCGATATTTTGCGAACCTGTTAATGGATTACAATCAAACTTGAATTTGAAAAATTGCTCTATGGCGGAGGCATCATTTTCGACTGCGCGCAGTCGAACATATCCATCTAGTTCGTGTTTTGCAAGGATGCACTGAAGGCAAAAGGAGACAGGAACCTAGATTGACTAATGGAATTAGAAAGTTAACAGATCATTTGTCTCAGCTCATTGTATCGCTTTAGACTGAACACTCTGGAGAACAATCATTAACCGGCATGGTCACGAAAGGTCTTGTAATATAGATTTCATATCACAAGAAATTAAAGGGGTAATTTGACAGATTTTGTTAGTTACTCTCAGATCAAGTTCTGCATTTTTAACCATTTGTGCCACTATGCAAACTCCTTTACGGTTTGATACTTTATGTTTTTATGTGCCTTCTATTACACATTGGTTGCTTTTTACTTTGCTTCCTGATAAGCCATTGCTACAACTTGCTCAGTCATTGACTCAGGGTTCAATGAAAATTTTGTGTAACAATTTTCATAATGACACCATAATCGGATGTACAGTCCTGTGTAGATGTGGTTCTAGAAGAATGTATTTCAACTTTTTTTTTTTTTGGGGGGGGGGGGGGTGTCCTTCTGGGCCTTAAGGCACGTGCAGATCCAGGATTTTGTAAAATAGAGAGCAAAAAGAGGTCACATATTTGTGTTCCTTTTTACCACAAAATCCTGTAACAAAGATCGGGGGGGGGGGGGCAAAATTTGCAATCTTGGCATGATGATATGTAAAATGATATATACAGAAGCAACTTTGACATGTTGCAAACCTTGAAACTTGCTCCTGACCTCGATTTAGAAAAAAAATATGCGAAATTGTATCAACGATTTCACTGCGTGTATTAAAGATTTCACTATGCGCGCCATAGTGTGCGAAAGCATGAGCGCTGCTCATCCTTGTTCGCTATTATTTTTGCACTGCGTTGCACATGTGCAGAATCCATATGGCAAGCAAGGATTAGGCGTCATCATCGGGATCTGACAATGAAAACAACATTGTAATTTTCCTTTAAACGGTAATTCAAATAACTATTTTTTGGAATTATATGATTTAATTGTGTAGTTTGGATATAATATACATGTAATGTGATTCTCAGCATTATAATGGATAAACTTATGATACATTTGTGTATATTAGACCTTCAAAAGACTGACTGGAATATGCTAAAGTTGAAAAAGAAGTTGTTTTATTTAATATCTGCTGCTATACTCAGGGTTCAATGAAAATTCTGTGTAGGTGCGGTTATAAAAAAATGTATTTGATTTTTTTTTTTTTTTTTTTTTGGGGGGGGGGGTGTCCTTCTGGGCCTTGAGGCACGTGCAGAGTCAGGATTTTGTAAAAGAGGGCACAAAGAGGTCACATATTTGTGTTCCTTTTTACCACAAAATCCTTAGATCGGGGCGAAATCTGCCATCTTGCATTCATTTTCTATGTGTGCCCCACTCAAATTAATGTATAATCAATTAAGAAATTAGGGGGAGTCCCCCCCCCCCCCCCTCTATAATCACTACGGGTCCTGTGAAGAGAGAGCTTGTCCCAACAAGAAGGAGGGGCAAAAGTAAAGGATAAACAAAGTCTAGGAAGGGAAAACTAATTTTTGTCAACATTTGAACACTTCAATTTCGTCGTCAGGCTGGCCAATGTACTTTTCACTTTGCCAAACCTGAACTTGGCAGCCTTATCAATGCAGTGTTTTTTCTTGTTTTGATTTAAACTGGTTGAATTCTTGAATCTATGTATTTTTAAATTTTTTGTAATGTTATTGTTTAGGAATGTTGCATTGAATTCATTAATGTTCACCTTTTACTCTCAAATTGTGTTAACTATTGCTCACTGTGCCCATACATTTGTGCCCCTCAGGGTGTGTCATACATGTATCTCCGGTTTTGTTTTCGCTGTATACAAGTGATTGTGTAAGCTCAACTTCTTGTTGTAGCGTACTAAAATATGCTGATGACACCGTTATTGTTCCTCTTTTGTCTAATCAGGCGAATGATTACTTCTCACAAGTAGACGAATTCATTCGCTGGTGTGATGATCATTACTTAAAATTAAACACAACCAAAGCCAAAGAAATGTCAAATGGTAATTTTCCGTCGAAAAGGTACAGACCACGAGAATGTAATCATTCATAATCAATGAGGCGATTATATCTTGGAACTGTCTTAAATGACAAATTATCATGGAGGGATAACACACAATCCGTAAAAAAGCTAACAAGAGGTTGTTTTTTTTCTGTGTAAGTTGAAAAGGTTCCATATAGATGCAACAATCCTGACCCTGTTCTACAATTCAATAATAAAGAGTGTCCTGCTTTTCAATATTATATGTTCATTTGGCAATCTCTCAAAACAGGACAAGAAGAAATTGGAAAGGCCACGTAAAATAGCACAGCGCATAATTGGGGTAGAATTATCTTCTGTCGAGTCTCGTTGTACTGAGCAAATTGTTGATAAGGTCTGTGCAATCATGAAAGACAATACCAATCCACTTCATTTCTTTTATTCATTTAATCGCTCTGGTATCCGACTTCGCCCCACCCCAACCCGCCTTTCACGATTCAGAATTTCAGATATTCATTTGTACCCGACTCTGTTAATAAATTCAACTCACAGGTTAAACGTTAAACTTCTGCGTTGGAAATTAATTAATACTGAAACTATTATGATTTGAAATACCAATGACCAAGGCTTAATTTTGAAACTCACGATATGAAGTACCAATGACCATTTTTGTGGCTTCATTATCTTTTGCATGTATTTGTTCCTTATTTCATCTATTTCTATAAACGTGATGTATTTATTTCTTGTAATTATGTATTTTCTTGAATATTACTGTAACGCCAGTGGAAACCAAATTTCTATGTAACCTGTTTGCAAAGACCAAATAAATATCTTGTATAATTGAAAAGATCATAATCATTATAGTGAAATATGTAAAATTATATATCACATTTTTTTACTTGTCCATGTTCTTATTTAGACTGGGAATGTCCATGATATTAACTTGTAGACCTTTTGAATGATAATTAGTTACAACATGAGATATTATTATATTTAGTGAGACATAAATGTATTGCAAAAAATGTATCGGGTGAGAGGAGCAGAGAGGGTCAAAGTCTGAACAATGGAGAGAGAGAAAGGGAGGGGGTTGCAAACTGAGAGCAAGTGGAGGAAGAAATATTCACAATGCAAATCTAATTATCACACGAACGAAAGCAAGAAGAGAATGATGGGTACATCATTTGTGAGGAAGTGTATACCCTTCCCCCTTAATATGTAAAAACGGAACACAATTTTGTACTGCTACAAAGCCAAAGGGGAAATGGTTGTAAGGGAAGTAGAATTGATGGTAAGAGAGAAAAAGAGTAGACGAGAAGGATATAAACCGACATAAACAGTCTATGATAAATCTTTAACAAAAAAGGAAGGGCGGGGGGGGGGGGGTGGTTCATATCACTTTTAAAATGCCCTTTCACTCCATAAGTTACTGACAGCTGTTCCTGCACCCTCTAGAGTAACCCACCTGAAATAGGGATGGCCAGTATACAGGGCGTATCATAATAAAGGATATTGAAGTTTAATGACGATTTATATGAAAACTACTGATTTCATAATCAAGCATTTTATGTCTGTGTAAAGGACAGAATGTCCTCTTGTTAATGACACCCCGATCATACTACTACTGTCACAGTTGACTGAATAACAAAGCATTGCTGTCCACCATGTGAAAGGTGCACTGTGACAAGTTAGCATTCACAGATAAATTCTAAAGATTAGTGCTTGTGTCAGCCCAGACATATTGAAATGCTGAACAATGAGTGGATTATGTGTCTAAGAAGGAAATGTTATCAAACTTGGCACAGTGCACCTTTGACATGGTGGACAGCAATGCTTTGTTATTCAGTCAACTGTGACAGTAGTAGTATGATCGGGGTGTCATTAACAAGAGGACATTCTGTCCTTTACAACAGACATAAAATGCTTGATTATGAAATCAGTAGTTTTCATATAAATCGTCATTAAACTTCAATATCCTTTATTATGATACGCCCTGTATATTAATACTCGTCCTTTACCACAAGAAGAAGAACTGCTCCATGCCATGCAAGAGAAATTGATATGAGTAAGGGAGGTCATTGCGCATGTAGGCCTACTTTATTTGAAAATATGTTTACATGCCAATAATCGAGACAGAATAAGAATAATATGAAGAAACCCTAGCCCGTCCCCCCTTATATAGCTGAAGGGCACTATCATAACCATAGGGGCCACGCAGGGAGGAAGGGACCCGGGCCCCCTCCCCTGGCCAAAAAAAGACCAAAAAGAAGAAGTAATTTTGTTGCTCAAAGGGGGTGGGGGGAGG